TATATCATATTACAAAATTGGAAAAAAAACTTGAATCCTTATCAAGCTAGATTAGTTTATCATTTCATTATAATTAATCTAAGCAATCGATCTTGTTTTTAGCTTGTTCATCATTGAGGGTGTGTCATTCGAAGGTTTAAATCAAGAGATTTGATATCATAAAAGATTTTATTTGATGCGAAAAAAATAATAATATCAAATCAAATATAAAATAGAGACCATCACCCGTTCAGCCGTTCAGTAAATAGTTCATGTAAACAATAGGATAACCAAAATTTAGTATCGATTCATTCATCCTGTCCATGAATTTTGCTTACGGGTTTTATATCTGAAAAACTTTATTCATTCATTTAATTTGATTCCCAGATCTATTTTCGCACAAACAAACACACAAATTAAATCGAAGTAAACACATCCCTTTCCCTATTCATTTCACTATTACTTTTACACTTACAAACAAATCAATTTACGAAATAAAATAAAATGGAAAAAAAAACAAACGAAATAAACAATGTGAAATGATCATATATGTCTTCCGTTATTGTCATTATTTTTTTTATTCGCTATTTTTGTCCTCTCCAATCTACTATTGATTGTACTGGAATTCCAAAGATTTTCAATATTTTATTTTCGGGTAGCCATCATCGTCATCATCATCATTGTAGTTAAATTAGATTCAATGAAAAACAAAAACCAATAAAGATTGGCCACACAAAAATAAATACAAACACACAAGATGGGCAAATTTATCCATGAATAAAATTAATATCTTCAGGGATATTCTATTTTAACATTATCATTACTGTGTGTCATTGTGTGTGTGTGTGTGTTGTGTTCATGTACCAAGCAATAACCCGAAACAAAAAATATTCGATCGAACCAAAAAAAATTCTCCCAAAATTGAGTAGATAGAAATAAAATAAAAGAATCTGAAATTCGAGAAAAAAAGAGGCAAAAAAAACTTGCAAATATACAAACAAACCAAATGCCAAAAATATATAGTAAATATACATCATCATAGATTTACAAGTACAACTTGATTTTGTCATTTACACTAAAATATAGAGATCGAACATTCAATTCATTCATTCACACTTTGACATTTTCTTCAGAATTTTTGTTATTATCATTAGTTTCTATAACTTTAATCGATTCGAATTGGATCGAAATACAGAACAGCCAAAAAAAATGACAACAACAACGAAAAACTGTTTTTGCTATTACTGATCAATCAATTAATCAGACAGAAAATAAGATGAGAAAAATAAGACATGTGACGAACTGAAATGACCTCGAATAATAAGAAAATTTGTACCAAAGAGATAATTCTTTTTTTTTGCTTGATTCGGGAACTTCATTTTTATTATAACTTCTAATTTTTGTTGTTGTTGCTGCCTTCAAATGATAAAATGACAGTGTTATTAGCTAAGATTAACGAATTTGTTGTTGTTCACGGAACGGAACAAACAAACAAACAACAGGGTGAAAAAAATGGCAAATGAGTAAAAGAAAAATAGGAAACAAAATTCATAAGATTGACAACAACAACAACATAAACAAATGGAAATGGTATTAGCAACAACAAAAAAAACATAATAACGTCGTAAACAATAATCATGTATTGGAAATTAGATAACTAGGAAATCATCAAAATGTATAGGAAAAAAAAGTAAAGAAATCAAATGAATGAACATAAAAATGAAATGAAATTGCATTTTAGAATGATTGAAAATTAATTCAATACAGGTTAAAGGTGTGGCTTCTTGTTTTTTTTTCATTTTATTTTTGATTACAAAATCTTACAATGTTTCATTGTTTTGTTTTGGTTTTCTTCATCCACCTCCTCCTCATTATTATTATTATTAAAAGAATTTATAAATGTCAAGATCACCATTGTTCAATAATTTTTAGTGATTCCGTTAGAAATACGTAAGCAAATAAGAAATAGTTATGAAATGTTTAACCAGAATTTTATCTCCAGAATTGAATCAGAATTAAATGTGATTTGTGTGGGTGAAAGATTTACTTTATCACTTGTGGTATAAAAAAAATATTCAAGAAAAGACCAGAAAAAAACCAAACTAAAGAATGATGAGTGATGAATCTGGACCAAAAAAAAACACACACACACAGAACATCCATTTTCTCCCAAAATCTTTAAACGATAAAAATAAAGCTAGAATTCTTCTAGAATTGATAAACAAGTTAAGTCAACAACAGATAAACAAAACAAAACAAAAAGAAGTGGAAATAATAAAAATATCTATCTATATAGATTAGAAAGTGGGAAGGAAAAAAAACGGAAAATTCTTGAAACTATTTTCAATTTGATATCGCATACAATTTTTTTTCTCTCTAATCGATTCAAGTGAATTTCTATTTCATTCCATTCAATGGAGAGAAAAAATAAGCCGTCTTAACAACAACAACAACAACAAAAAAACCCAAGAATCTGATATCTATATCTTTATATAGAAAGATAAACAAACAAACAATAACATTAACACAAACAAGTGAATGCAATTGATTTTGGATCTTTTTTTGTTTTGTTTTGTTTTAATTCTTTTTGAAAAAAAACTATTATTATGGACTCTGTTTGTTTGCTTATGTGTATGTGTGTATCGATGTCAATGTAAGTAGCCATCATCATGAAAAACAAAGGAAAAAAAGTAGCAAAAATTTTTGAAGATATATTTAACATGAAAAAATATCCGAATGAGAAAGAAAGATGGAAAGTAAAAGAAAAAAAGAGTAGAAGCATCAATATTAACCACTAAAATCGATTAAGAAATAATTTCAAAAAATAGGCTCATCTATTATCCTACGAATGAAAAAAAACCAGAAAAAATTTCGATCCACTTCTTGATATTTTCAAAATTTTCTTTAGATTTTTTTTAAACCGATAAGGATACATTAAAGTGTTTGCGTGTGCGTAGATTGATGATGTTTGTTTACAACATTTTGTTTTTTTTGAACTAAAAAGAAAATTTGATGAAAAATAAGCAAAACAAATCAAAAAAATAGAATGAAAATGAAAAAGAATTGAATCAAATTGCAAATAATAGAAACAAATGAAAGAATCAAATCAATTCAAGATGTGAATCGATATATTTAGACAAACCAATACAATAATCGAGAACCATTCTTGAGAAGAAAAAATAATAATGAAAATGAAAGTAAAGAAATGGAATTAAGTATATTGGACGCCCATCATTATCATGATCATTATGAACAAGCTATGGATAAGATAGGAACTGATGAAAATTTTTATCAATGAAACTTTTATGCGTTTGGGCAAATTGCCGGCAAATTTTTCAATCTAATAGTTCAACGAACAAAATCACCAAATAGAAAAAAAAAACAGAAATCATTTATTAATATGGAAATATCTATTCTTAATGAATGTTAAAAATAAATTTTCTGAATTTAAAGAATACACAAAGAAAAAGAAATCATTTAACAATGTTCGATCCGAAAGAAAATTTCCGATAAATAGACTTGATCAATAATGAAGAGAGAAAAAAAAAGAGAAAACCGATAACCACCAGTAATAAAAACATAAAAATATTCAATCTATAGCTGAATTCTACAGATTATTATGACAGTCATAAATTATATCCAGAATATTAAAAAAAAAATTTTATTTTCATTTTTTCTCCTGATCAAAAATCATCGAATCGTGTTGTCAATCGAGTTATTGTTTTTTCATTGTATTGTGATAGTAATAGCAGGAAATATCCTTGATTTGGATCAATTTTTTTTGAAATTTTCTCAATAATTCAACGTTTTATGATTTACATGCCAAAAATGACCGATAGAATTCGATTTTATTGATCATACAATAGTGTCCAGAGTGAAAAAAAAGAATATTTTTAAATGAAATAAAGCCATTAAATATATTCTGTTCCAAAGATAATTCTAATAAAAATAAATTTTCCAATTGGATCAATCATTTGTCGAAGTTTTTTTTCGATTAGAGAATTTTATAATTCCCTTCTTCTTGTTCATTAAACATTCAATAATTATTTTCCCCCAAACCATTACCATCATTACTATTATTTTAGATATACACTAAAAAATAATAATGTCTAAATTGGTTAATTATCATTGGATGGCAAAGAATAATAAAATCCATTTGAATCTAGGCCAATCATTGAATGGGAATATTTGAAACTATCGCGGAAACACACATGATTGCCATCTATGAGATAAGATACAAAATGATTCAGGATGCTTGCGTAATCAATAAAAATAAACAATGAGTTTTTGTCATTCATAAATCAAAAACGTAAAACTAAATTGAATTAAAGCGAAAAATAAATTAAATCTACCTTTTTTCACGGATAATTTTTTGTTGAAAATATATTATTCCAATAAAACACAATAAAACAACAGTTTGCCCAGGAAAATAATGATAAGCAAAATTTTTACGCTGAAAAATCTTCGTCGAAATTTAATGAATGAAAGAATCTGAATTCATAAAAACATATTTACACATTCGATAATAATGGATAATATATATCGTCTGAATTATAATTTTTTTCAAAATTAAAATTACAGATTTCAACAAAAATTTAATCAGTAGATTTGTAGAAATGTTGACACAAATGAAAGTTATCGTAACGGGATTCAAAAAAACAAAAAATCTGCCTGTTGATTTATTCAATTTAATGTTTATTCAATATTTTTTTATAGAAAAAAACGAAACTGTAGAATCAAATGAATTCGTTAATAGAAATTCTTCACAAAATAATAATAATTTTAAAGAAAATATTTATAAAAAAAAACACAAGATTCAATTTACAAACTTTTGTTTGTTTTGTCAAAAATCAAGAAAATGTATGTACAGGTATTGAATACAATTAATAGATGACGTTACGTTTACAGTTATATTTTTTATAATTTTCAAATTCTTTTATTCAACGACAAAAAAATTGAATGACTTTGAGTATGATGATGAAATTTGTTAAGAAGAAAAAAAATTCTATGAAATCAGGGAATTTCAATTAACCTTCAACAATTCATTTATGTTCATGCATATCGTCCACCTCTAAATGTATTAAATCGAAACGGTTTTTCTCCGGTGAACGCAATTGGCGCAGCCAAAATTATCGTTGGTGTTGGATGTTGTGCCATGAACGGTGCTGGAGCGGCAGTCAAAATTGTCATTGTTTGTGGCATATGTGGAGCTGCCATTAAACAACTTGGCCCAGCTGAAGCATAAGTCATCATTGGAGCAGCTTGTGTCATATATGGTGATGGTGCTGCAGCTAATATCGTCATTGGTGCCGGTGCAGCAAATCCAAATGTTGGTGGAGGCATTATCCTTCCATAACCGTATCCAGGTACGGCACGTATTGTCATTACCAATGTTCCAAGAATGATCTTTAGTGAAGAAAAAATGAAAATTATCTTAAAATTCCAGCAATGATGACATAACAACTTACAAGTAATTTAATCATTTTTAAAAAAAAAGTTTTTAATGTCAAATTGTCGATCAAATTTTTAAAGAAAATCGTTCGCGTTTCAACAATGTTCATTTGAAAAAATTTTCGAATAATTTTTTGTTTTTATATACAATCGATGGAATGCGATGACCATATTATGTAGATGGTGATGATAATAATGGATAATTTTGATTAACATCAATGTTAATGAAGATTGTTCCAGAACTTGAATGTAAAGATGAGTGAGATTTGTTTGTATGCCATTATCATTTTAATGGCATCTAATGTAATTGTTTTTTTTCACAACCAAATCAAATGTATAGTATCTTTTGAATCATATGATGATATGATCTTTATTTGGAAAAAAAATTTGTCATCTTTAATAACCTGTTTTCTATCGATGTAATCTTTTTCAATTTATACATAACTTAGACACATCGAATTGATCGATGTGATCAGAATCCATGCAAATTATTTCATTATCAATGCGCTCATTTTTTTTTCTAAACATTTTGATTGCCAAACACAATTTGCGAAAGGATATATCATTGCTTTTGTTTCATGAACGAATGAAAATGAAAATAATTTTTAATCAAGCTTGTCAATCAACAGCGAAAATTTAAAAAAAAAATTCAATCATAATAATATATCCGTCGTTGTTTTTTTTAATCAATTTGAACCGATCAATGACATTTAATGGGATTCACAAAAATGAATGTCACAACTGACATATGATTCCTGTTCCGCCTTTGAAAATGTTAGCCGTCTTTTGTTGATAAATGGCAATTTATTTAATCAGAAAACAATTTTTTTTAATATTAATAATGAAATTTGAGAAAAAAAAACCAATAAATCATAAATTTATTTATGTTCAAATGAATATTTTTATAAAGTGATAGAAAAAAAGGAAAGATATTTTCATGTTAAACAACAAAAAATGTTTTATAAAATGTATCAACTCATGTGTGTGTGAGTGTGATGTATGCATTTCCTGTCGAATCTGAATGTATCGTTACATTTACATAATCCACAGATTATTTCGGAATCATTTGTTTTCAATTATTCATTATCATTCGATTTTTAATCAATCTTTCAGTTCTCGTAATTTTCGTTCAAAGACTTCTTCCAATGTATTGGCGAAAAAACAATATTGTGAATTTGGTTCATTATAATATCGACAATTATCGAATATTTTATGCATATCATAAATAAATTCAGTAAATCGTTTATAATGACGGCCACTAATTTGATTTGAAATTTGTTGAAGATCTATAGTTTTTTTGTTTAAAAAAAGATTAGATGAAAATCATTTTTAACAATGACTTACCCATTGGCTCTTTAATAACTGTATAATAATCGGGAACTTGTTTTCCATCAACAGGTTTTAAAAATGGCCACGAACTTCGATGTGACTGAACATTTCAAATGATAATTAGAAAAACTATATAATTCGATTTGGTTGAAAACATACCTTGACAGTTTTAACAATTTTTTCCATTCGTTGAAAATCAGCATCAACAAGTGGTCGGATATTTCGATAACTTTTGGATTCTTCACCTTGACATCGTGGACAAAAGTATTCATCAATTTGATCGGCACGAATACTGGTTACTCCAACACAGCGACCATGAAACCAATCATTGCATTGGTCACAGCAGATGTAAAATTTGTCGCTTTCATATTTTTCATGACAAAAACAATATTCTTTATCATCACCATTATCATCCTGTTCAATTACTACATTATGATTATCGACTGTATCATTGCTGATGCTGTTATTACTGTTATTATTTGCTGCACGGTGATGTTTAGGTTTACGTCCCGGACCAGATTTTCGTTGTACGTTCGCTGATCGTGGACTTGATTTACTGTTTGATAATGAATTAGATTTTTTACTTTGATGACTATTATCATTTGATTTCGGATTTCGATTTTTACAATCTGAGCAAAAATATTGTTCCATATTATCTGCTTCTTGTTTCTCCATGCCGATACATTTGATATGATACCAGTGTCCACAATCATCACAAGCGATCATCATCGATTTATCATCGGTTCGATTGCAAATACAATAAGTTGCTGATGTTTTATTTTTTGGTGATTTTTTAGGTGTTTGATTTGCTTGATGTGGACTTTTTCCAACGTTGTTAACATTATTCAACATTGATGAATCAACAGTATTTGATGATGATTTATGACCACTATTGGAAACGGTCAAACGTGGTCGTTTGTTTGTTCGAGTTTCAGATTCTGGTGTTGTTACTGATGAGGAACTATTGGATTTGCTTGTATCATGATCTTTACTATCGAGTTTATGTTTAACACCAGTGATCGTTACTTTAACATTATTCGAATGATTAATAGTCTGTGTATTTGATGATGCTTTCACCATCGGCTTGACTGGCGTAATTAATTTTTGCTTAGCTTGTTTTAATTTTTCATCAATTTCCTGTTCGACCATACATTTTATATGTTGATTAAAAACAGATTTTCGACGAGAAATATTTCTTCGAATGACTTCGATATGATTCTGTCGATATTTGATTTTCATTTGTATAGCCTTTTTGTGTCTTCTTTCGGCCATTACTTCTTTATGTTTCGTTGAACGTTCCTCTTTTTCAATCTTATCAACCATCTGTTTAATAATATTCGAGCAAATTCTTTCGACATCTTCCTTTTCATCGCGAATAATACGAGAAACTCTGCTATGTCGTTCTGGCTGTGGATATTCGTAGATGAAATCACTATCATTATCATATTTGGATCGAGAATAACGAGAACTTCTTGATGATGATCGGTTATTTGTTCGATGATTAGATGGAATATCATTTCTAGATGCAATTGATTGCTGTTGATTTAACTGTGAATGATGTGGAGAATCGGCTTGTTCTTGATGATGTTTTTGTAATGCTAATAATTTTTGTGCAATCTCTGGAGCTACATTTGGATTCATCAAAGCTTTTCGGACAATATCTTGTGTCATTTCTGCTGTCACTACAAAATTTTTCTCTTCTGATTCTTTGTTCAAATCACTCGATATATTAATAATAGCTGCTTTCGATAATGTCGATGCGGGAATCGGATCAGTTTGCTGACCAGTGGTCACAACATTCGGATTACGAACTATGATCGGATTTTTGGTCAACATCGTCGATGATGGATTATTACCAATTTGAACAGTTTTGATTCCCATTTGGTTCACCGTTGGCGTTGTCGTAGGAGCCGCTGAATGTAGTATAACTTTTTGATTATTCGCATGTGTCAAGACGATTGTATTGAGTGGGGTTGTTGTCGGTAACACTGAATTGTTACTACTTGCAACGATGATCGTTCTTGATTGATTATCACCACTAATACTAGTAGTTGGATTAGTCGTAGATCCAAATGCATCTGAAGATGATGGATTTGTTGGATTAATAATTGACTTAGCCGTCACAAAACGAATATGATTGTTGGAATTCAAAGCAATTTGCAAGGTTTGATTGGAACCGGCAGCTGTTTGTAATGAACTTAAAGGAACATAATGTGTTCGGCCATCACTTAATTTTAATGGTAGACAAGTAATATTTTTATTATTGTTTCCTGCAACGTTGATCGTTGGCAAAACTGTTGATGGAGTTGATGATGATGATGATGATGATGTAGTTGTCAAATTTGTTGCCGTAGTAGTTGTAGCTACTGTTTTTAATGTATTTGTTGTCAATATAGCATTTACGGTTGTCGCTGTTGATATTTTTTTGGGACAATTGGTGGCAATAATTGGTATCGAATGTCGAATATTCGAATGAATCGTATTCACTGATCGTATCATCGGTGATGTATTCAAAGTATTTGAAATGAAAATTGGTCGACCTGAAGTGGCTGTCCCACCAGTTGAACTTATTGGCGTTCGCACAATGTATGTTTGTGTTCGATTTGGTGTTACAGGATTAGCCGTTGATGTAAGCAATTGGAAATTATTTCCTGCACGTATAAAAAGCTGAGGTGATGGTTTAGTACCACTTGTTGTTTGTAATCGGACTAACGGACCATTCGAGGTGTGAATTGTTGATCCATATGGAACCGTATTCAATGTAGCAATGGTCGGATGAGAAGTAGATTGAGATGTAGTGAGTTTTGGTGGTGTACGATTTGTGATCAAAGTCGAGAATTTTGCCGATAATGATTTAGAGGGCGTTGTGGTCAAATTAATATTACCGCCATTAACAAATCTGACAGTATCAACTGATGTTTTATTATGAAGGCTTCCTGTTTCTTGTAATTTTCTTTTCATTTCCATTTCTTTTTGACGCTGTTCTTGAATAGCTTTTTGTCGTGCTAATTGAATCTGTTTATCATTGAATTGCTTGATTTCCCATAATTCTAATTCTTCTTCGCGAATCCAATTTTCATCCATTCGTGGACCTTTGTTCTGTGGTGATTCAGGTCGTCGTCGTTCACGTAATCCACTACGATTTGGTGTTGAAATCTCACGTGTACGATAAATAGGAACATCAATTGGAACAGTAATTTTTCTGATACGATATTCGGAACGTAAACCAAACGGTGGTATATCTCTTCTCTTAAGGATTTCGACTGTTTGAACATCAACATCAGTGGTGATAGTATTCGTGCCAGAAATGGGTGGTTTTTGTGCTAAATCATCCCAGCGAACTGACGCCCATAGAACACGAAGCTGTAAAGCTACACAATGTAATGTAGGTAAATTGTACACACGATAAAGCCAAGTTGTTCGAAAAGATGGTCGTGGTGTTAAACCATATGGCCATATTGATGGATTGATTTTGGCATTATAATTAAAACCAAAAACTTCATATTGGCCACCAGATCTTCCAAGTTGACGAAGTTCATAATTCAATGGTATAAAAATCGATTTAAATTTTCCATTAGTGAAACGAGTACTTGGTGGTAGTTGTCCTTTGCTAATAAACGGAACAACTTTTTTTGCAAATTGTTCGACACCATCAACACTGATAATCTTCTTCAGTTCAACTGGTTCGGTAAGATCTTCAAAAACCATTTCTTCTTCTTTAATTAATGAACAATTTTCATTTATAAGATTTTGATTTTTTGATAAATAAGAACAAAGTGGTGAATAACAAGAATGATTCTGAGAAGAAGAAGGAAGTTGAGAATTCGAATCACAGCTAATTGAATAACAAGTTGATGATGTGGTCGATATTGATGTAATTGGTGGCTGTAATTTCGGTTTAATCAAAACATTTTTCTTTTCATCATTACCATCATCTTTTTTATGTTTACGCTCGAATTCTAGCTGAGCCATACGAAGCGATAAAAGTTTATCCAATTTTGATTCTTTAAAAATTTTTGGATAATAAAGTTTTCGTTTTAACGAATTTTTCGTCGTCAAAAATTCAGAAATATTAACAATAAAATTTTCATCATTTTTATAATCAATTTCATCATCAGTTTGCATGTTGATATTGGAATTTTCAACAATTTTTTCATCATTGCTTTCATCTTTCATTTCAACATTTTCATTATTGTTGTTGTTATTGTCACTTTTTTCTTCTTTTAAGCAATCACTATTTTCTTCATTAGATATTGTTGACAAATCTTGTTCCATATAACATTTAGCCACTTTGTATGAATTTCGTATGCTATTCAGCCAAAACCAACCGCCGACTCCGGATAGCCGATATTCTTCACCTTTTTGTTTCCATATCTGATGTCGCAATTTTCCATTGACTAATTTGACGCCTGCACCACCTAATGGATTATATTTTGATGCTAAGGATGAATCGTTCGGGTCCAACATACTCGACATCAATTCGGACACATCAAAAACTGCAGCAGCAGCAGCAGAACGACCACTTTTCTTTTCTTTCTTTTTCAATTCATCACGTTCCAATTGAGTGGTACGTTGAAGAACAGTAAAACCCAGTAGATCATTGAAGGAGCTGTTGAATAACACTGGTTTCATGGAAGATTCCAAGATGTATAATGCTAAACCAAATTCTCTAGGCTCTGAACAGATCTTCACTGCTTTGATCCAATTGTCTCGATGACGTTTCCAATTTGGATGCATGAAAGGATTGATAAAATTCAATTCAAATTGCAATAAAGCTTGTCGTAACGTATTAATCAACATTGGCTTTGGTCCGTGTGCTGTTGTAACAGGTGCTGCCGTTACAACCTGATTATATGAAGCCCATTTTAAATCGGACATAGGTGTTAAACTGAATTTATGACTTAAATGCCTTCGACGATCACGATCATCTTGCACCTGATTTCGACTCAAAGCCATCGGTATTAAACTATAAATATTCTGATAATTACGATAATTTCCTTCGAAACCAAGATTGAACAAATTCATCTGAAAATATGATACAGGCAATGCTCGTCGTTGAGTACGAGTTAAAGTTTTTTCATCATCTGCTATGATTATTACGGTGTCTTCATCACGGAATGCTTGAATCGTATTATAAAGACTGGTATGATTTCGTAACGGATTCATTGCCAGTGGTTTTTGTGGCAAGGTACCAGTTTTTAGTCTAGTTTGCATACCACCACCTCTCAAATCTTCTTCATCAACGGCTAATTTTACTTCCAATTGGGCTATTTTTTCATCGATTGTTAACTGATCAGAATCTGTCGCTTCTGATTTCAATTTTGAAGATCGTTTGAGGTACAATTCTTCATTGATCACTTCGAGATAGCTTTTTCGAGAACCTTTGGCTATTTTGGTGAGTTTTTCAGTGATGCTCATTTGCCGATAGATATCTTCTTGCAATTCGGATAACGTTTTACACAAATCCGATTCATACATTTCATCATCAAGGCAGTCGAGTAGTTCATCGAATTGTAATCGGGTACTATAATAAGAAACTTTATCGGTTTTAATATCTTCAACAATGATACGACGAGCGAGGAACCAATACTGTCGACCATGACGATCCCAACCAATCGGTTCTTGTCGTGGCATTTGACGTTCATATTCATTAACACAATCGGTTACGCCCATCACCTGATTTTGTTTACAAATTGGACAAAACCATTCCTGTTCGGGAACTTGTTTCAATGGAGGATCCAGACAGGATAAATGAAATACTGCCGGGCATGTATCACACATTAACATTTCACCATTTTTGTGACATGAACGACAATGTTCATCATGATCAAGCTTTCCCTCCGAATTGATTGCATCCTTTACAACTTGTGTGTTGAGAAAATCATCACATAAATGTTGGAGAAGAATTAATTTTTTATCTAGACTGGTGAATGGATAGGTATCATTTAAACATTTATCCATGATGGGCTTATTTTTCTTATAATCAGATGAAAGATAAATTCGAAGCACTTCAGGCCATGTAACATGATCACAAAGATATAGGTAAACGTTAATAGAATCTCGAATATCTTGTGGTCCATGTTGTGTACCGATCAAATCATCTTCACGAATCAAAGCTTTCAATAATTGAATATGAATTTCGGATAATAAATATGTTTGTTCATCAATTAAAAGTGCTATGCAAAAATCTTCAAAACGAAATGGTGATAATCGTAAAGCATTACTAAAATGTCGTAAAATTTCATAAATACTTAGTGCACGAATCAACTCACTACCCGATATAAGTAAATCTTCAGATGAAGATGGTAACAATAATTCTGGTACTTCTTGATCATCAAGATAAACAGGTGCTTTTTCACGTGGTGGTCTTCCACGTCGTTTACCGGTTTCTTCTTTTTCATCTTCAATTTCTTCTTCTAATTCTTCTTCTTCGAATTCATCTAATTCATTCACATCATCATCATTATCATCACCGTCATCATTATCTTTATCCGAATCTTCAATATCATCATCACTTTGTGTTGCTGGTTCTTCATAATAATATTCATCATCACATAATTCATCTTCACTTTCGGTTTTTTTACGTTTACGGCCACGTTTTTTCGTCGATTCTACAGTCACACTGTTCAACCGTGTTGATGATCGTCGGCTTGAACGTGTTTGATATTTATTATTCGTACCAGATGATCTTGATGTATTCGTTGTAGATGAACTATGATTTGAATCTTCATCATCATCATCGACAATTAGTTTATTGGTTTTTGCATTCAAATATTTATTATTATTATTTGGTTGAATTTTTGGTGGGCGTCCACGTTTTCGCGGACGATGGTTACGCATGACGAACAGATAATTAAAATTTATCGATAAAAATATTTGATTCAAAAATATTCAAATAATCAATTTGATGAAAAGTGTGTGGAAGTAGGGGCCAAGTCGTAATCGAAGTCGATGATAAAATTTTGGTTGCTATTGAATGGAATAGAAAATATAGAAAAATTTGAATAAATGAGGACACCAAATCATGTTATGGGAATTTAAAATTCAAAATTTACACTGTTGTGTGTTGTTTCGGTAACTGTAAAAGGCGCCAAACATAAGAAATACAAGATTGAACATCAAAACACACCACTGACATATACAGAATAGGGTAAAAATTAATGGCTGCCGTTGAGTGTGTATTATATTCACACGCGATCAAGTTAATGCTGGCCTTTTTTTCTCTTGTCAATGCCTATGGGCCTTATGCGTATAATAATAATATGAGTGGTGCGCGACTTTGTGCACCCTCATCGACCATTCACATACTATGTTACAAGAATAATTCAATGTTTTTTAATAAATAATCATAAAAATAAACATTTGTTATTATCATTCCTGCTAGCAAGTTGGATATTATGTCAAACGATCATCAACAGCGAACAAATTTTGTCAAATTTTCGATGTTTTTTTCATTCGAAACAATTATTTATTCAAAGGACTCAATTGACTCACGAAGACTCACCCAGTTACCACAGTCACTTGATTGATGAATATCAACACTGTCGCTCGTTCAATCTTCACCGATTTTTAAGTTTTGTTTATCGCTTTTGGATCGATTTTTACAATTTCCCAACGAATTGATCAATTATTCTTCACAATAGAAACAAAAAAGTAAGAATTTAATTTTCTCACTTCTTTTTAGACAAACATATAATTGTTTCCAAGGAAGATTTTTTTATTTATAAAGGACTTATCGAGAACATTTCTCTATATGTATACTTGCCTATAGAGTTCATTATTGTGTCGATTTACGATTGAAATTTCTATATTTATTATTCGATATTTTCTCAATCGTTAAAAAATCGGAAAATAATGCCAAAAATTCGTACTGTAAGAAATCGTAATCATCAACCACCAGAAGGATGGGATTTAATTGAGCCAACCATTGAAGAATTGGAGGCCAAAATGCGTGAAGCTGAATCCGAAACCCATGAAGGTAAACGTCGTACCGAATCCTTATGGCCAATATTCAAAATACATCATCAAAAATCTCGTTACATTTACGAACTTTACTATAAACGTCAATCAATATCCAAAGAGTTGTATGAATATTGTGTTAAGAATCGTATAGCCGATGCTGCTTTGATAGCTAAATGGAAAAAACAAGGTTATGAAAATTTATGCTGTCTTCGTTGTATTCAGGTTCGAGATACAAATTTTGGAACAAATTGCATCTGTCGTGTACCGAGAGATAAGCTGGAAGAAGGTCGTAAACTTGTCGAATGTATTCATTGTGGTTGTCGTGGATGTTCCGGTTGATGAATTGAACTTTCACAACTATAAACTGAAAAAAACTATCTCGCATTCATTATTGGTATTTGTACATTTAATTCATAATAATGAATTTTTTATTGCATTATAATTAATTATCAACAGCAAAATAAAATATTTTAATTAAAAAAACTATCTACATTAATGTTATTCATTTTCCTTCGGTAAGCTTATGAATACCAAAGTTCAGTCTTAATTGTTCCATAAATACGAATGTCAAAATTGTATGCGGGGCTAGTCGTATGAATGCTGGAACATAACCTTTGAAAAATCCAAAAATTCCAGATTCTTTATACAGTTCAGTTATACAATGGCCAACACTTCGATATTGATTTTTAGCGGAATTCATCATTCGAGTCTTCAGTACATCAAGCTATTAGAATGAATTGTGTAAATTATATTGATCATTTTCAAGGGTGATTAAATTAATCAAAATTACTTACTGGTTGCGTTAACGATGTAGCAACCGCACCAGTCAATGTACTTGCTGTTAAATGAGTGGTAACATTATCCTCGAAAATCATGGGTAAATATTCGAGCAATAAATATTTGAATTGATCATACATTGAAAGCTGAAATGAAGGAAAAAATTGTCTTGAAAAATAATCCAGCAAAATATTATATTTCAAAATACCTGTCCGATAGACATCATAATGGCTCGAGCAGTGGCCATTGAAGCTCCATTGAACAATGATTTGGCGCCTTCGAATCGATAAACTTTGATAAGACCATCGATGGCATTTTTATAATTTCGACGATCTTTGGCAAGCAATTTCATATCGTTTTGCATCCGAACATTGATCATATCGGCCGGTGTGCCTATTAAAGGAATTCATTTATTCATTTTAAATCGAGTGGATGACAAGTGAATGATTGGCATAAATTAGTAAATTATACCATATTATCCACAATGGATTAATAATTACCGACAAGACCGCCCACAGCACCTGAAATTCCAGCCAAAATTATCCTTTGGTAAAATGGTATCGTTGATCCATCAGGTGAAATTTGCTGTTTGGCCACTTCATAAATACCAAAACGTGTGGTCGAATAGGTTAATTGTCGAAGTAATGATGCTGTTAGTCCATTATATAAAGCCAATATACCATCACTTTTCACTAATCTGACCGCTGTTGAAAACATAGTTGGCCGTCCTTGGGCCGTTATGCTTGTAGCGGACAGATTTGTTGCAGTCGTTTGAAAATGAACTTTGATCAAATCCAATGGATGTGTACAACAAGCTGCACCGGCCGATCCTAGACCACCGAAATACCATCGCGATAATATCACTTCGTTGGGTTGAACACTGGACATCTTTCAATGATGAAGGAAAAAATGATGACAAATATCAAATGAATAAATACAAATCTATGGCTATCAACAATATCGAATATTTTGGTCAAACCAGACGATAATGTAAAATGTTAATATTAAAATCATCAAATGAAAAAATACAATGTAGTTGTAATAAATTTCTTTGCGGTTTGGTTATGTTTTCAAAAAAAACATTATGAGATTAGTAGTAAAAACAATGTTCTGACCTACTGACGAATCTAATATTGTCAACAAAAATTTTATCAAATTAAAGAACATATAAATTGTGAATGTTATATTATGAAATATTCAATTAAAGTAAATTAGGGAAAAAAACATTTCCACTCATTTGAATACTCGTAATTCATTTCATATACAGTTATTTTTTCTCTTTCTTTACATTAGTTTATTCATGTCCATGAGATCGATATCAATATATTGCTGAGTACATTTCATAGAGATAAATTATCTTTTGAAAAAAAAACATCAGGCGACCAGTTTGTTAAGTTCGAGAATAATTTTTCAAACTTGTCGTCTTGTTCGTAATGAATGTAATTCAGTTATCCACAATAACATAAATAAATATAAATGCTGAGCAGAACAAACATTTTTATTTAGTTGGAGGTTAAAAAGTTCTGTTCGTCATTCGTTTTTGCCAATATAAAATTCCTATTTCCATTTAAAATGTTTAGATTCGTTTGATGTTTTTTTTTCGATTGACGCAAACTCAAAACAAGGGGATAGAAAATTGAAATTTTTTAGGCATGTGATCATATAATTTGAAATGGATCGAATGTTATTCAAATTATTTTCGATAAATATTTGATCGTGGAATATCGTGAGAATCTGTTTTTTTTCTAAATCAAAATCCGTGATTGTACACAAAGAGAGGTTAAGAGAAAAAGGTGTCATTTTGTACATTACTGTAATAATGATTGTAATCATTACACATTACAACTGTACATAACAAAACGATTGATTTTAGGTGTTTACCTTGTAATTATGAATAGCACAAGTCTTTTATGGGAATGGATTTCAATGGTCAGGCCACACACATAATCGAACAGACACGTTCTACAAACGTAAAAATCATGCCACATTTAAATGTACCAAATATTAAAATATATAATTCTCACGAAATTCCGTCGATCAAAATGTCTATAAAAATCGAATAGATAGAATCTAAATGATTCATATCGAAAAAAAATGATCAACAATATGAATTCAGAACGAAAAATTCGTCTGATGGAAATATTGAATCGAATAATGAAAAATCGAAAATTATCTAAGAATGTTAGTCGCCGTTTATATCCGATTTGTACGGCTGAAGAAAATCAACGTGTTTTACTTCTTGAATGGACACGAATACATCGGATCGAATGTATGCAATATGATTTTGATTTTATCAACGAAACACAATGTTATTTGGAATCAAATTAAATGATTTTATTTTTCAATAATAAATGGTAAGAAAAAACGATAATTCTTTTTAGAAAACATTAAATTTAAAAAGATGAATATATTTAGGTCCACCAACAGCTAATAATGGCATCGATCGATTCCAGCTTATACCACGACCAGCGATCAAATTTCGTTCAATATATGTCTATAATTTTATAATAAAATCATTTCAGTGAATAAAAAATTCATTATTAAATATTACCTGATTCGTAATAAAATTTTTAACTGTTAAAAAACTATATGGACGTCCACGATAAGCAATCAATTTACTATTGTAAAACGAAAGCTCTGATAAACCTTCAAAATCGGTTTTTAAAATTTTAATTGGTAAACTGGTCAATGAAGTATCCCAGAAAAATAGATCACGATCGGATGTACAACCAATGAACAAATTGTTCTCTGTACACCAATCGCTCGATGTTAATGGATATCGATAACAATCGAATGACATGACAGCAACACGTGTTATTGTGTCATAAAAACGAATCATTCCTTTCTTTTCGGCAACTAAAAGCTAAATGATTTATGAATAAAACCAATTAATTTGATTGAATCTATCAACCATATTTCTCACTTTATTGGGTTCGGTATTATGCCATTTAATGCTAACGCCAGGCGATGAAAGCATTAACTTGGTGATGTTTTTGCCATCTGATGGTTCTCGTAATGATCGAATTATACAGGTACAATCATCGCCAGTCGATGCTAATTGTTCACCAGAAATCGGTTCAAATGCCATGTCGTTGATATGATTGATGTGACCAGTAAAAAATTGCTGCTCAGCATTATTAGTCGACGGATGGTCATCATATTGAATTGACTGATTCAAAAGTAGGATGCAAAAATCATCAGTAGCTACTGCTAAGCTTAAGAAACCTTGTTGAGATTGAGCCGAAAAATTTGTTCTCGGTCCGAAAGCGATCGATGAACATTTCGATCCACAAATATAATCATAAATGAATTTATAATCGAATTCGGTGCCATCACCTTGTTTATTGTCATTATTATTTGTTGAACTCAAAGAAATCTGATAGATAAAAATTCGTTCCCGTACACAACAGGCCAATATATCTGTTGCACCATCGAATGGACAAAATTTTACAGAATTAATCGTATTTTCTGTTGCTTGTTTAAGATCAATTTGAAATTCTTCATAAAAAACTTGAACCTTTTTTTCTTTGATTGTCATATTATTCATCGATGAAGCGACATTGGTAAAAGGAGAATTTGTCAATTTTTGGCCAATCATTTTGATCAATCGATCATATGTTTAACAATAGCAAGTTTTTTTAAAGGCGCCAATTGACTCGGTATTTTGCTTGCCATGTGAAAAATGGCGAAAAATTCGTTGTTACAAAATGGTATAAAAGATGGAGACATAATCGTTGGTTAGATGTTACAGAAAATATAAAAAATTTCCAAACTTTTAATTAATCACAATAATTTATTAATCCTTTTTTATTTGATAATCATAATTTTTTTTAAATTTAAAATTCTTATTAATCATTTAGGTATCCAAAATGTATTTGTACAAATTGTGGCATAAAAGCTGATGGTGTAATCGGAGAGAATATAAAGAATTTCGAACGCACATATTTCAAATCACAATGAAAAATTTATGACAAAAAAACTAAACTTATTTCATGATATTTTTTTTAATAAAAAAAAATTACAAATTAAACTGTGAATGTTAGTTGTGTCTGTTTTGTGTTAATATTGCTAACAACAATGCAAAATAATAAAAATTAAATCAAATACCTTTGTTTTCGTTTATACATTTCATATGGGAATTAAATGATTAGATGAGAAAAATACATTTGTATTCAGTCAATATAACAGAATTGATCAAAAACTTTTCATGTTACATTCATTTTACTGATAATAGAACAATGGTGATAATTTGCACATAGCAAAATTTGTAATATTTTGGGAAAAAATGATATAAATGTTGATTACATGTTTTACATATACAAAAATAATTGTTAATATTTAATTATAAATAACAATTCTCTGTTACTTGATGATAAGTCATAGAGGGAAAAAGAGAGAAATTAGGCATATGAGTATATTGTTCTGTGAGTGGATATAATCGACGGCAAATATTAATTATCGACAATATTCTGAAGTTTTCGATACAATTCCTTGAATATGATGATAATTTCTTTGACTTTTCTGTTTTCTGGCATAGTTAATATGTTGAGAATCAATAGTAAATCGATAACGCAGACAAGTACAAGAAAAAATCGATTAGAATAAATCTATTTTGTATCGATTGACAAGTAAAGTTTTGTGTTTGTGTGTAAGGAGCACGATAATTTTATAAATCATTATTGATATCAACTTAATGTTACGGCATTAGTATTGCTACTATTTTTAACTACCGTAGCATTATTATTTTCAAATGAACTTTTTTTCTTGAGACTTTCACATTTGTTCAATATTTTTTGTTTAGTTGCTTGGATTTTTTCTTCCACCGAATTCGAACGAATACAATCGAATTTGGAATTTTTCAAGGAACGTTTATGATTATTATTATTATTGGATGTGATCATATCGTCGACGATGTTTGATGGTGGACTTCGAACTGAATCTTGACTTTGCGAAACGATCATACCGTTATGATTTTTATTATTAGTTGATTGTTGATGTTGATCGATATGACTTTTATTAAATAATGAATCACCGAACGTATCGGAATTCTCATCAATGTCATCATCCGAATCTTCATTTGGATTTGAGCTTGATTCATAACGTGGAATGTGTGTAATACCTTCCTCAGCTAATTCATTTATATGATATTCAATTATCTCTTGACCTTTTTTGATATTCTGTGAATAATGTTTAACAGCTAATCGTTCGACAACATGTTCGAAACCCCAAAATGATTTGATTTCAAGACTTGCTTGTTGTTCAAATATAGTCCATTCCTCATTTTCGGGTGAAACCTATTCCAGAATGAATAAAAGATGGACAAAACAATGAGATTAGATTATCATTATTACGAATTTGATAATGCTTACCCGATAATAACACAATTCATGAATATTAATATGATTACTGAAGCTTTCATTTTTTGCTTCGATTTTCAGTACACGTTTTCTTCGATTCAATGTATTTCTTTGTATGAATAGAACATGATCTACTCCAGTAATCTACAATTTATTTATTCATTATTAATACAGAAAACGAATAATGAAACGATCAATCAATTAGGAAAAAAATATTGATCATTAATAAATCTAATACCTTCCGAAGCAGATATGGAGCATCAACACTAATACGACAACGACGTTCAATCACATGAATAGAACCATCATCGCTTATATTTTCATTTATTGTATCACTACCAACAAATACTGGTATTAGATGACATGTTGGAAATCTTTTTTCATATGCCTAAATAAAAAATGTTAAAGAATCAAGGAAAAAAAACAAAATTAATGAGAATTAAGTATAAATGTAATGTATGTGTATTATGATTGTCAAAAGATTGGAATGAGTTAGACATTTTTTTTGCTTTGAAAAATGATATTCCGCAACAAACAAATCACTTAAGTTAATGACAATAGAGACATTTGACAGAATAGACTAAAACTCTGAATAAATTGAACTATCAATCATGCAAACAAAACAAAACAAAAAACAACAAATATGAAAAGTTTGAAGATTTTTTCCTTTTGATTTCATTCCATTCAGTAAGAATTAAGGCGGAAAATTTATTAGTTTTTTTAATAATAAAAATTGACACGCAAAATTTATTCATTTATTCCCTGACACGAAAACATTGAATTATAAATGGATAAAATTGATAAGGAAATCTATGTGAAAATAAATTTGGATGGGCAAAAAAAAAACTGACAATTTTTTGAATGTTCCAAATAAAATCTGTATATAATCAACACATACCGCCATGACCAATTCGAATGGATATTTAAACACCCGGACGGGTGCCTTATATTGTTGAACCATGTTTTTGTTTTTGTTTCGATGATTTACCACCAATATTCACAGATTAAGAATTTTGAAAATATCAACAACAAAAAAAAACGTTTGCTAAAAAAGATCACTACCTTCGATAACAATGACGTTTGAACTGTTGTTTTTTTCTCACTTCCTTATGATGATCAATCAATATTGAATCTTTTTTTCGGAGAAAAGTTTTAAAAATAAAAATTGCTTGCTCATATCACAAACATGAAATAGAAATTGAATTTCGATAAAAAAAAATTCAATTTCTCTTTTTTTCCATTAGAAAATATTATGACTAGTCAATCAAACAAACAAACAAAAAAAGGATACAATACTTCCTTATAGCACCTAAAATGATCATATTCATCATTATCATATAGTCATTATCACCTAGAAATCAAAATCGTCACCATAGATGATATGATCACGGGAATTGGCAGAAATAGTATCCTGCTTTATTTGTGTGTGTGTGACGACGTATGTCTTGATCACTTTGTGAATATCACAACGAAAAAAAATTGAAATTATTATGCCGGATTTATTTAGAACATAATCGTTGATTTATGGATGGATCAACTAATATGAATGGCTAAGTAATTAGAGTGAGATCAAAATAGTTGAAAAAAGCACTTGAACAATAATTCGATGAATTGACGAAATTGGATCCGAATTTTTTTCAGTAAAGAAAACAACTTTTGATAATGATTATTATCACTTAATGTGGTTATTAAGATGTTTTTTTATTTATTTTGAATGTTCATTTAGAATTCATATCTGAATTTATTTTTTTTATTCAGAAAAAAACAAAATTAAACCGTATGCTGAATAGTTTTCTGGTGAATTTTCGTTTTATTTTCCAATTCAATTTGACCAACATTATAAGAATGATAGGATGATGAGATAGACGATATCTTAGATAGATGAGATCCTTTTTTATGGCTCAACATTTGAGTAAACAATGACTGAGTGAGTGAATAAATGAAGAAATTCTTTTAACGACAACGACGACGACGACGACGTAGTAAAATACACATACATAGAGAATCCGATATTATTGATTGTTGTTGTTCCTATAGGTCTCAAGTTCCAGAAATGATCATCATAATTTAGATGATGAAAACATCAAACCAGTTAATGTCAACAATGTTCGGGTTATTGTTGTTTTTATAGTTTTTTTTTCTTATTTAATGTCTATCATTTAATATTTGGCTGAATATTTTCTTATCATTTTCTTTATTTTTAAAAGAAAATATTCAACGAATAAAAAAAACACCAGATAAACAAAATAAGATAAACATTATAATGAATTTTATTTCTATGTAAAATAACCCGAAAAATTTCCAATTCAAAATTGGTTCATTTCAAAATATTCAACATTCTTCACATAATACACTTAAACACAATCTTCAGAATCATCATCTTTGAATGAATGAATGTTGGGTATATCTTCAAACTGAAATAAATATCATCATATATAAACGAATGTAGATAACTATAGAAATTATAAAAAAAAACATTGAGCCAAACTAAATTCAGCTGGCAAATTTTTCTATATAGAAAAATATATTGGCAAAACAAGTATTATACGAACGAAGAAACAAAAACAAAATAAACGAGTATCCTATCCATCCGTTTGTGTTGTTGTTGTTGTTTTGTTTTTTCGATCGCTATGTTCCTAATACATTGGAACCAACCACGTACACAAACAAACATTGGAAAATAACATTTTGGAAAATTTATTCATTGAAGAAAAATAAAAAGAAACCATGGAAATTGAAATGATTTTTGGAAAAGTTATGTTTTCATATTTTTATTTTCATGTAAATATATTTTGAAGATGATAATGAAGAAATCTGATTCTTCTTTATTTGCTGTTGTTGTTGTTGTTGTTGTTGTAGAGGTATATTTTCCTTGATAGTTTTGATTTTATTATTATGATGATTATATTTTCTTCTATATAAATTCGGGTGAAATAAGAGACATTGATATTTTCCAGTTTTGGAATCTTATATTTTCTAGCAAGAACACAATATATATAGAAACATTTTATATAGTCGATTTTTAAAAATCAATATTGCATATTTTGTCATTGAAAACTATGAACCACCACCATGATGATGATGGCCATTCTCTATATATCATGGGATTTGCTTTTCAAGATGTTTATCGGAAATTTTGTTCGATTTTCTTCCTATTGAATTACGATGTGAATTTCGTTTGAATCGTATCATAGGATTAAAGATAGGAAAAACATTAATGTCATTACTTTTTTTTCTATTATCAAAATTCTAAAAAAAAGATCATTCTATTTGTTGAAACAATAAAAAACATTTATCGATGTACTACCGTACATAATCCATCCATTAAATTATTAAAATTTAGTGCAACAATGAGAATGATAATCTTTGTTGACCTCAATTTTTTGTTTTTGAATGTCAATGTTAAAATGCAATTTGTTAAAAAAAAACTTTATTATCATGGTTGATTGAGAAATCAATGATGTTTAGGATTTTATTCCAAACAAATAATACAAATTCATTATATATTTAACATTTGATAGATGTGTTTTTAATTGAAACGTTCGTTGTTTTCATTAATAATTGAATCTCATGGGGATTACATAAGATCTGTCCGAATAAATTGAATTTTAAATGAATGAATGTTTTTGACAAAGACAGATAAATTATAATGATTGAATAGCTTGTCATTCGGCATCCGATATTGGCAAAATAATGAATCTATTAAAATGATCGTTTGAAAATTGGCGCCCAGATAATAAATGTTAATGTTCGAAACAATCGATATATGGTATCGATATTTATTTTGAGCGTGCATTCATGCTTTAGCTTATAATCGAGTGTTTAATTTACTTGAAATTTAAGAAAAATGTCTGTGAATATTATCAATAAGATTAGTGAAGGTGAACGTTTATTTATTACAAATGGTGTAGATTTAAATATCCGTTCGGATGGTCGGTCTTGTGATGATCATCGTATGGTAATGATTGAACAAAATGTTATCGAAACATGTAGTGGTTCAGCACATGCACGTTCAGGAAACACCGATGTTCTAGTTGGAATTAAACTTGAATTAGAAGAGATTATCAACAACAACGATGATAAGCAAGCTGTTGATGATAAAGGACGTGTTCAGGTATTCGCCGATATATCAGCAATTGCATCCCCTGCATTTGAAGGAAGAAAAGGTGAAGATATTACCTGTCAAATTGAAGCATTGTTTTCCGAATTTCTACCAGATTATCTCGATCTGGAAAAACTAATCATCGTTCCTAATAGATCCCATTTTGTTTTACATATCGATATTGTCATCCTTGAATGTTCTTCATTGTCATCATTAATTGATATAACCTCAATTGCTATCAAAACTGCCCTATACGATGTTAGGTATGAAATTTATTCTCTGGTGTTTTTGTCCAAACTATTTCCCATTACTTTAACCTTGTTTTTATTTGGACCACCCTAATTAAGAATACCAAAAATCAACATTTTAAGTGTTGACCAGAATGAATTCACCGTTTCCGAAGATGAATTCGAATCTATTCCATTGGATGCTAGTCGTGTACCACTAGTGACAAGTTATACAAAAATCGGTTCGAAATTTGTTGTCGATGCTACTTGGGAAGAGGAACAAGCAAGTGTTGGTACCATATCAGTTGCTTTTCTTCCGCCTGATCAGATTATTCTGATGAAAAAAATTCGTCATGGATCGATTAGTACCGATTCGTTTCCATTGCTATTCGAAGTAAGAATTTTTCCCCTATGAATATTGTTATTATAATTAAATTTTATCGTCTTCTTTACATATTTCCTGCAATAGCGTGCAACAAAATTCGGTTTGGAATTATCACGAAAATTTGATGCCAAAATTTGTCAATGTAAAACATTAAAAACAGGTGGTAGAATTACATTTTCAATAAATTAATGATTCGAATGATTATCGGACCACCCCTATCCTTTCAACAGAACACACACCGAAAATCCGTTAATTTTCTACCCGAAATTATGAAGAATTTCAAAGTCGTTTGTAAATAAATGAAAAATGAATTAAGGCGCAAAAACCAAAAAATTTGATTTGTCCGTGTGTGTGTTGATTTGTTTGTATACAAACAAACATGCCATGCTATAAACAATAATCCAGCGTGCTAATCGATAGTGTCGTTCATTACCAAAGCAAAGTCGAAAAAAATTTTTGTTTATAAAAATTTTTGTGGTTTTTTTTCAATTGGCTAAAAATAAATTTTTCTTTTCTCATTCATTAATATGATCCAGTTATTAAATTTTTGAGATTTTTGTTGTCGTATGTGTATTTGTATCATAATCGACATTTTTTTAATTGGAATAAAATACCAATTTGGCTTATCATTAATTTTTTTCTATTGTTATTTCTCGAAATTTGCCAACAAATCAATCGATAAATACAAAATAACATTTTTCTATACGTATCCTCCTTTTTTTCTTCAATTCCGTTTCATTATAAAAATAATTGTGAATCAAAGTGCGAATTTATTTTCGCATTTTAGTCTCTATACATGAAATTTTTAAGGCAAAATAAAGATTTTGAATCACATGAATTTATTTGGCGATCAAAGAAAAAAATATCAATATGTTGGCGAATCAATATCGACGACCATGATTGCGATGAATAATAATAATAATAATAATAATCTTATCAATAATAACAACACGAATCATCATCATCATCAACAACAAGTGCTCAATAGTTTTTCGACGACAACAACCTCTGATGGTTGTACTACTACAGATAAATCAACCGTTTCATCTGATAGTAGTGGTGTTTGTACTCAATTCGGCGATGATTATCGTGATGTTTTCGTTGAACCGAGACATTTGGAAGAAATCAAAGGCCATGATAATCATATAAATCATAATTGGCGCACAAAAGAACGTGTATGTTTTTTATTTGATTCGAATAATGTTTATGATTTAAATTTTATATAATTTTTCCATATTTCAGATGAAAACTGTTAGCGTGGGAATCGTTCTTTGTTTGAATATCGGTATCGATCCACCAGATATAATCAAACCAATTCCACATGCTGTTTTACAATCATGGACCGATCCGTTTGCATTGGCTGCCAGCAAAGCGTCAGATACAATAGCTAATAATTTAATGAAACAATATGAAAGATTGAATTCTCGTCCACGATATAAACATTTAATTGATCCAACTATTGAAGATGTGAAGAAATTATGCACTTCATTGCGTAAAACTTCGAAAGAGGAACGAGTTTTGTTTCATTATAATGGACATGGTGTTCCGAAGCCAACACTCAATGGTGAGATTTGGGTGTTCAATCGTAACTATACCCAATATATTCCATTGTCATTATATGATCTTCAACAATGGATGGGCTCACCATCGATTTATGTATTTGATTGTTCAAATGCCGGAATAATTCTCGAAATATTTCAACAATCTGCCATACAACATCAAAAAGAATATGAAATGAATCTAAATTCAGGAGCCTTTTTAAACACAAAAGATGGCGATCTGGTTAATGGTAACATGCGACCGCCACCGGTTCCAAACTATCAAAATTGTATTCTATTAGCTGCATGTAGTAAGGGCGAAATTTTGCAATTACATCCCGATCTTCCGGCCGATGTTTTTACATCTTGTCTTACAACTCCAATCAAGACATATTTGCTATGGTTTCTCAAGAAAAGTGGTCGAAAATTAACGCCTGAATATACATTAGATTTTATCGACAAAATTCCTGGCCAGCCGAATGATCGTAAATCAATTTTAGGAGAATTACATTGGATTTTCACTGCCGTTACTGATACTATTGCATGGAACACGCTTCCGCGTGAACAGTTTCAACGTCTTTTTCGTCAAGATTCTTTGGTGGCAAGTTTATTTCGAAATTTTTTACTTGCTCAAAGAATCCTTCGTTGTTATGATTGTACACCTGTATCTAATCCATATATTAAATCTACTCATTCGCATCCAATGTGGGAAGCCTGGGATTTCGCCGTAGATCATTGTTTATCACAATTGTTCAAAAATGAGGAAATCAAAACTAATCAACAAGCTTATGTACCAAGTCCATTTTTTGCCGAACAATTGACTGCTTTTCAAGTATGGTTGAAATTGGATTCACATTTACAAACAATGCCAGAAAAATTGCCAATTGTACTTCAAGTACTTCTTAGTCAAGCTCATCGATGTCGCGCTCTTGATTTATTAGGGAATTTTTTAAATCTTGGTTCCTGGGCAGTTAATCTGGTAAAAAACATTGAATTTATTCTTCATATTTCTTCATTCATTTTTGTTGTTGTTATCTTAATAGGCCTTATCTGTTGGAATCTATCCCTATGTACTTAAATTGCTTCAAACATCTGCACGCGAGCTTCGTCCGTTTCTGGTATTTATCTGGGCTAAAATATTAGCTATCGATGAAAGTTCACAGATGGAATTGATTCGAGATAAAACGCATCGATATTTTATGGTTGTTTTAACCGATTCCAACATATCAATTAATCATCAAGTGATGAGTGCTTTCATACTATCCGTGATGATTCGCCATAATCCAAACGGACAGCGGGTAGTCATACAGAATAATTCGGATTGTCAGTTTGGATCAATAATCGATATTGCCCTTAATCTGTTGATGGACGATACTTATGATCAACCTAATCTAAGAAAATGGTTAATTATTTGTCTGGGAAATGTATGGGAAAATAATGAAGATAATAGATGGTTAGCCACTCGGAATGCTGTGCACGAACAACTATATTCATCACTTAATCATTCCGTGCCTGAAGTTCGCGCTTCTACCGTTTTCGCCTTAGGGACGTTTATTAATAGCATTACGCAACGTAACGAACATGCTAATGAAATTGATCGAAATATTGTTTCGATATTATTACAAAAGGTCTGCTATGATTCATCACCTTTAGTCCGTAAAGAATTGCTCGTGGCATTACATTGGTTTATTTTGATTTTCGAAAATAATTTTCTGCCAATTTTTCGTAAAAAAGCGTTCGAAGATCACATTGCTCGCCAACACAATCCGAATAAATTCTCTGTAAAAGATGCAATTTTCGATTCTTCGATTCATCAATCCATGTTGTCGATAAATCAAAATAATAGTGTCAACATTCCCAGTAGTTTTACAGCAGGTATGTTGGATTTTGATTTTATTTCAGATTTAATTTTGATTTTTTGTTCTGATCAAAAGCTGATTTCATCAATTCAAAAAGTGATGTCGGGTTTAATGTACGACAAATGTCTCGCGAAAGAATTTCTCAAAAATTATTAACAGTGCCTGAAAATGTTGACTCGGATGGTAAGAATAAACAATTGTTCAAGATTATCAGGTTTTCATGGATTTTTTTTTCTATTAGATAAATCGAACAAAACCAGTGAATTCAATACCTTTGCTCAAATTACACCGCCAAATAGCATTCAAATGAGACATTCGCATTCATTTAGTTCTACTTTAAACACTTTGACACAGTCGTTAACGAGCATTTTTGATAGAGTATGGCTTGTGATCGAATTGTATAGAATTGATCCACATCCAGAAGTAGCGAGCTTAGCATCAATCATTTATAATGATATCAGTTCCAAAGCATTCACAAGTAAAGATAATTGTTCCGATTCTTCTGAACCATCATCACCAACTAATCGGTCGAAATATCTTTCAAATGAATCTCCATTAACTAATTCAATGGAATTTGTGGAAAAGCCTCTATTAATGAATGAACAATTGAAACATCATTCTGGTCGTGTATCTGTATCCGGTTTAACCAGTCCATATTTGCCTCACTCTAATAATCATGCTCTATTTATTAACCAATATACTATGAAAAGAAAAATCTTCGGAAAAGATCCATCATTGGTGAGCGAAAAGAAAGAGCTTAGATATGGCCCTCCCAATGGAATATGTGATATACCTGTAAAATCATGTAAAGAATCGACATCTCCTCAAAATAATTCACTTAGTGAATCATCGTATCAAACTTGTCGAAAGCCACTTATTACGACACCATTTGTTGATTGGTGTACCAAACAATTTAGTCAACCTTGTTCGCCTGCTGGAATCTGTTGCTGTACAAATAACGAACTAACTTATCACGATGAAATCAGTGAATGGCGAATGAATATTATACAAAATTATTGTCAATCTAAAACAAAGCTTTTACTCGAGGATCTTGTCACATCAAATAAACCGAGTAAGGTGACAAAAAAGCTGATGGCTCATTCGATCAAGTTCCATCCATTTGAGAAATATCTAGCTACAGCCGATAATTATACCTTTTCAATATGGAACTATTCTCAAGCTAATAGTCCTGTTGTGTCCGCTGATTACTATGACGTACAAACATTTAAAAATGACCACCTTTCTAGTGCCAAAATATCCGATTTACACATAATTAATACTCATGGAAAGGCATTACTGTTGGTCGCAACTGAAGATAGTGCTATTCGTGTTTGGCGTAATTTATTTCCATTAACATTTTCCGAATTATCCTTGGAAGAATACGAATCGCCTCATAAGCCGGATTCATCGATGCCAAAATTATCATCGGCTTTTTTCATGTTTGAAGATTTGCCTTTGCGAACAGAACCTCGAAAACGATTTGTATTGGCATATGATGAGCAAAAACAACGAATCATTGCTGGTGGTGATAACAAAGCAGTTCGTATTTGGGATGCTAATCATGAAAGTAGAATTCGAGATATGGTTACTGGAAGCGATGTTGTGTCGTCAATTCAGGCCGATTCCAGCCATTTTATTTGCGTAGGTTGTGAAGACGGTGCTGTTCGAGTATTCGATGATCGTGTCAAATCTAATGATGGTCGAGTATTGTCGTTTACATCAAAAATGACCCCTGTTGTAAATGCGAAATTCTGGGCAAATTCAGATTCTATAAATATGGTTAGCGGACATGCTAATGGTGATATTTGTTGGTATGATAAACGTATTACAACCAAAGCAGTTCGTGTAGAATGTACAAAAAGGCCAATTACGTCGATGGTGTTCCATAATCTTACTGATGTGTTTGCATGGTAAATTTTTCTCTTATCAACAAATTTATTTTTTAAAAAATCATTTCTATTTACAGTGCTTTTGACTATGAACACTCTGAGATTCAATACTTTTCATGGGACACATTCAAAGGGTTAACGATACGAACTCGTAATCGAAACGTACAGAATATTTCGTTTCATCCGCTCAAGGTAATCTTTTTTTTTGAATTATTCATTACAAAATTTTCATTAACTGTTTTCTTTAGGCAAAAATTGCAATAGCTACTTCCGACTCGACAGTGACAATCTACAAATCTCCATTGCGTACTCCTTTTATCTATAATTTATTATAACAAAAATACGGACCTGATGATTTTGTAAATAACCAAAGTTATTTAAACGTTTTTTTGATGGATGATAGTCCAAATGAATTTGTGCAGCAAATATTTTGTGATATTTATTACTAATTTGTCTTCAATTATTTTTTAAAAAATATTATTATAACAAAAGAATTTTCAATCTTCCTTTTACACACAAAATGAATTAGGAACTAATTTCATTACAAAAACAAAAGGGAAAATGTTTTAAAAATTATTCACATGAATGATACAAATTGATTGTTAATTCCATTTATGTCGTTATTTGTTGCATCCAATTGTATACAATAAAATTGTTTTATTCCGACAAACAATCATAAAATTTGATTTTCACGACCTTTAAATCCAGTGGCTAAAACGTATAATTCCGTAGAATCTGCGCGGCTAGCTTCGGGTTTAACTTGACGCACTTTTTGAAACATTTTGCTCAAATCTTCAATTAATTTTTCAGTTTGATTTCCATTGAAAATTTTCGCTAGAAAATTACCTTGATCTTTGAGACAAATCGATGAAAATCTTATTGTCGAATAGACTAATTGCATAATACGTTCATGATCATAATCATGTTGACCACTGACATTGGGTGACATATCACTTAATATAAGATCAGCTTTCCGATCACTTAATGCGGATAAAATGTTTGCTTGACTTATATGACTAGTAAAATCAGTCTTCGGCAAACAGATAGCACCAGGTATAGGAGCAAAATCTGCTTTATCCAAAGCTATGACAGCACCAGTTTTATAGCATTCTGGTGGATTAATACGTAAACATTCGACTATAACTTGAGTCCATGATCCTGGTGCTGCACCACATTCTATTACAATCATTCCAGGTTTCAATAATCTGTAACGATCATTCATTTCGATCAATTTAAATGCTGCTCGTGAACGATAATTTTGATAACGAGATTGTTTAACAAATGTATCGCGTACATGTCGTTCCATCCAGCTTTTTGAAGACATATAACGAATCAAGATTGAATGGTACGATTTCATTTTTATATGAATGACTGAAATGAATCATAACTTCAGGTGATGAATGAACATTAACAAAATGATCAGCTGATATTGATCATAAGGTTTTTTTTAATGAACATTATTAATGATATCATTGTGTTTGGATATGAAAAATAATAAAAAAAAAATTTTAAAAAAAAACGTGGATTATTTTTTTGGAGGCGACGGGTATCGATCCCGCTACCTCTCGCATGCTAGTAACATTACTGGAACATTGCTAAGCGAGCGCGCTACCATCTGCGCCACGCCCCCACAACAGGAATTTCTAAGAAGATCCGTTGAGCTAATCCTCCGTTTGCATATGTGATTTGAGGGTTTTAAACAATTATAAATGAAACTAAAATTGATTTGTAACGTATTCTAATGAGGAACAAAACAAAGCATGTTTCTAAACATTTCGTTACACATTCCAATTTTTCATAATTTGATGATTTTCTTTTTTAAATGAAAAAATGACTTCCCGAAAACAAACACCAAACGATTTCCTAAAACAAATTATCGGACGTCCAGTGGTTGTCAAACTGAATTCTGGAGTCGATTATCGTGGTAATTTAGTTTCCATGACATTAATAGAATTTCAATAGAATTTGAATTATTATCGATGGATTTTTTTCTGTTTTTTTTACAGGCGTTTTAGCTTGTTTAGATGGCTATTTAAATATAGCTTTAGAACAAACTGAAGAATACGTTAATGGACAATTAAAACAAAAATATGGTGATGCATTTATTCGCGGTAACAATGGTTTGTTTTTATTGTTTATGTTTTCTATATATTTATTATTTTTTTTTATAGTATACTACATTAGTGCTCAAAAACGAAAATATTGATCATTAAACATCAACAAATCCTTCATGCATCGGTATAACTGTGGATTGATTTTTTAATCTCACCACTATTGAAGAGTTTTTTACGATCTCTATCCATTCTATTTCTTCATTAATTGATGTGAATAAATTTCGAATTTCTTTTTCTGACCATGATTGTAATAATTTCAAGGGTATTTTGATACGTTTTTTCTCTTCTTCACGACCATTCTCATTTCGATATGTAAATCGAACAATGTATAAAAAATTTGGATCAATTATTTTCGGCCATTTTTGTTCGAAAACATTTTTGTCATAATCGAATCCATACAATTTTGAACATTCATTTTCTTTTGTTTGGCTCGTGAATGCTTGCCAACATTCTGAAGCAAAACAAGGAACAAACGGTGATATCATTATTATCAATGATGCTAATGCACGTTCATATTCTTTAGTATGAACAATGTTGTTTCGAATGTTGGCTCGTAATAGATTGACCAATTTATGTATTGAAGATGTACCGTTTCGAATTTGATAACTCGAACATATCGAATATAAAACATTGAAAACATGTTGATCTGTTGATCGATCGAAATCTTTTAAAGTTTCATCAAATTTTAGAGAATCCAATGGTTTAATTTTTGATTGACCACTTTTAATTGCTAAATATTCTTCGATAGTCAACAATAATCGATGAAAGAATACAAACGTTGGACCAAATTCTTTTTCTTCGCTGTCCCAAAGTCGTTCAGATTCAGGATTTCCAACCGAAAGTATAGTCCATCTTACGGCATCCGAACTATATTGCTGTACCAATAAATCAGGATCAACTCCAGTGCCTTTGGATTTTGACATTTTTTCAAAAGTAACTTCAACATCTTTTCGATCCTTCGCCTCTTCCGCGGTAAGGTATTTTCCATTCAGTTTATATGTACGTGCTTTAACAATGGCCTGCATAAGTAGCGTATGGAATGGTTCTCGAAATTCGAGATATCCTTTTGATCGTAGAAAGTGTGTAATAAAACGGGCATAGAATAAATGTAATGCTGAATGTTCTTTGCCACCAATATAACAATCGACAGGTCGCAAACGAATTTTGTCAAAAGGTTGCGTATCACTTGGTTCGGTAAAATATCGTAAAAAATACCATGATGAATCAAAAAATGTATCACAAGTATCAGTTTCTCGTATTGCATCATACGTTTTGCATTTTGGACATTTAACATTCAGCCAATCATTGGGTGCAAAATTTTTCAATGGACTAGAAATATCATTGCTCGAATAGCTAGATATTTTCGAATATTCAATGTCGGGTAATTGTATTGGCAGGTCTTGATCATCAACAGGAACCGGACCACAATTCGAACAATGAACAATCGGAATTGGTGTGCCCCAGAAACGTTGTCGCGAAATTAGCCAATCTCGATATGAACGTGATGTATAATAACCCCCGAGACCGATCGAACGAGCTCGATCCAACACTTCTGTTCGTTTTGTTTCATCTGGATGCATTTCTCTTGCTATGAATAACGTTGCTTGTGTTGATGGTGGAAAATTTGCATCTTCAATCAATCTGATATCCATTTTTTTATCGGTAAGAAAAGGATTTTTGATTTGTCCTACGATTTCACGATGTTTTTTACCATTGGAAAGCCAATGTTGCTTCGAAATTCCAATGAAAGTTTTCGAAGTGCAAAACAATTCTGGATATGGTGTGAATATTTGTAAAATATTATCCAGACCAGATTTATCCTCATCCATGGTTAAATAGAATAAATAACCACTTGGCTTCTGTATCCACCATCTTTGATGAGCTAGAATGAAATTCCAATGACCGGTATCGATAATGTCTTCTCCTGCATATAAATCATTAGCAAAGGCATTTGTTTTGATAAACCATTGTTTATGGAATCTTTTTTCTACAAGAGCACCACTTCGCCAGCTTTTTCCTTCGGAATCAACTTGTTCATCGGCCAATACTGTACAGTCGATGGGATCCCAATTAACTTGACTAATTCCTTGATATGCCAAGCCCGATTTGAACAGTTCAGTAAAAAGCCATTGCGTCCAACGATAATAAGATGGATCGGATGTACTTTCACGCCAATGAAAATGATAACCAAGATTTTTCAGTTGACTTTTCATCTGTTCGATGTTAGAAATGGTCCAAACAAAGGGATTTTTATTGTTGATTCGAGCAGCATTTTCTGCTGGTAATCCAAAAGAATCGAATCCCATTGGATTAACCACATTTTCACCACATAAATAACTGGTCTTGAAAAGCAAATCGGCTGTTGTATAGATTCTTGTATGGCCTGATTTTTATGAAATCATCATTATGAATCAATTATCTTGCAAAAAATAATCCTAATTGTAATACCTAGATGTAATTGCCCACTCGGATATGGAAACATCGACAAGACGTACTTTGTATTGGTAGTTGTTTGATGTTTAGCGACAACATTCATCCAATATTTATCGACTTTGTTTTTCCATTTGTTTTCGATATCTCTCAAAATCTCTGGAACATATGAATAATCAAATTTGCTTTTAAATTTATTCGGTTCACTGAATACTGTTGTGGCATATAATCTGTAAGGAACGATTTGTTTAATTCTAAACGCTAAGGGCCTAAATAATAGAATAATCATAATGAATGGATAATTTGAATAAAAATCGATTATAAATCACATGTATATATATATTCTCGGTAAACCATGTGACCATTTTTTTTAATTTTGATCACTTCAAAGATACAGTGATACCGGTCCGCATACTCGCACGTTGTATCTGCTTTGTTTAGATCAGATTCCAGAATATACTTGAATTGTCATAATAAATTCTCATTGAATTTTGAATTATTAAGGTCAATATTTTTTTTCCTGAATATCTAAAATGACATGCTAAATATGATCAATAGTGATACTGAAATAGTAGACCGAATGAAGGTCGAAAACGTTTCAAATATGTCTATAAAAAATGAACCTGAAGATTTTAATGGTTTCAACAGTGAAAGCCATTCTCATCTCGAAGAAGAATCATTGGATGATGGTGGTTCTAGTTTCAACGCATCTTCCGATTTGGATGAAGATAGTTCTTGTTCTGATGATACAGATAATGATGATTCTTCAAATGATTCTGATGGTTCAGAAATATCATCCATTGTCAATCCTGATTCTTCAGAAATTTCTTCGGTTGTTTTTCCTCTTGAAACTATACAAATCATTTCGGAACAAAATGAAATTCAAAAAGAACTGACAGAAGACGCAGCTTTATCAATTTCCGAAGATGTTAGCTATAGGATACGTGAATTAATACATTGTTCTTCCCAATTTATGCGACATTCATTTCGTACAAAACTGTCGACCAAAGATGTTTTTCAAGCTATGCAAGAACTTGATTGTGATCTGATTTTCGGTCATAATAACACTATTTCGAATAGCAATGAAATGACCGACAAAGAAACTCATTACATAGAAGTGCCATCAGCTGAAATTTTTGTTGAAAATCATAATCTAGTTGATCTCAAACAGGAAACTTTCAGATTATTGAAGATTAAACCACCGAATAAAGATGATGAAGCTAAACTGTCACAAGCTTTCGAAATTGATTGGTTCAGCCTTACTAATCCTATCTGTGATAATATCTATTATATTAATGGAAAATCTAATCTAATTGACAATTATTTTCGAAAACTTACTGAATTATTGTTGAACAATTCAAAAATATTATCATCAAAAGAACAAAATCGTTGTCTAAAAGTATTCTGTATGGATCTGTCAAAAAATCGTTTGGTCAAATCGCTAATTTGTCCACTAGTTTATTTTACTCGTAATACGATTATTTCTTGGGAAAAACTTAAGCCTTCTCATGAAGAAATCGATTTAATCAAATTCAATCAAACACGATTAAAATCAATAAAACGGCTATTGACGGTACTTTGTTCAATTATACGCAATGAAGAATTCGTAGATCTTACATTTGATTCGAAAATTCTCGAAGATTTTGCCGAAACGATCCTGATGCTTTGTTTTGAATCCAATTCCTTGAGTCTTTCTTTTACTCTCGATAGTTATTTCCAATTATATCCTTTAGTATTACAAATACGATCTTTTTCCGCATATTTGTTCACTCAATTATTGTACAAATTTTCCATCCCATTAACCGACATTCAACATCGTCTTATGAAAATACTATGTATAAAAATCAAAAATCGTGCAGAAAAATCAATCGATAATCTTCTCGACATATCATCAATCGATTATGCTATTTTAAATCTGTTCCGTTTTCTAGGTTTCGACATGTGTATGCGTTATCTGTTACCATTACTAACTGATGAACAATCATTTTTCCATTCTTATTTTAAAAATCATGAATATAATGATCGAAAAGAATTTATGATTTATCAACAGGTACGAAATCTAGTATTGTGCGAAATAGTTATGATTGGAAAATTAATCCTTAAAGGGTTAATTTTACTATTAACTCAAAAACCCGATGATTTTGTCCTTGTTGAACAAAGTGATTCAGTTTATACATTTTTCGGTGAATTTTTCGGCGATTCCTTGTATTGTTCATTGATTCCTGTGATTGAAATACTGCGATTAAATGGACAGAACTTTGATATTTGGCTAAAAAATTGGCGTAAATTTGTTCCAAATAAAAAACAAAAACTAACGGAATATCATTCAGATACATCAAAAATCGCACAACAAAGTTCGGAAAAATCGCCTAACAAATCACACCGGAAAAAAGGTACTGGATTACTTGAATCAATGCTTTCAACCGATACAACCAAAATGCCGAAAAATGAATCACTTTCAATGTTTACGGACTCATTGTTAGATTCATCTCATAAGCAATACGAAAAAGTATTCCTTTATCAACAGGATTTTGATGAAACGCTAGAAGCTCAATCTGATCATTCACCCGAATGTTTGATTGTATTTGATGGACATAGATTGCCACCAACCAATACTGATGAAGAAGATGGTAATTATTAATTGAGATGAATGAATATTAATTAAAGCTCTAATTGTTTTTTTTTGCAGAAGGTGCACCCAAAAAAGTTAAGATACATTCATCGACGATACCGTATAAAAATTCTGAATGGTACAATCTCAGTGTTAATTATCGATTCAAAACGAAAACATATCATCATTTTATCATTAGCAATATCAATCAAAATACGAGCCAAAAAATACGTTTCGATCCGAACCGACATGCCAGATTTCATTATCATCGAATTCATCATCATACACGAATCTGTACAAGTCTTTACACACATCTTTAGCATTATTGCTTTTTAAAATTTGTTTTATAAAATGAATAAAATTGTTTTATTGTTATGTAAAATTTTTTTCTGATTTTAAATAAATCTATTCATTTTGTGGTGATTCTCGTGCATTAGGCACACTTGATGTAATGGACATTTGTTCGGTATTTGTTTGATCAATGAGATATCCAACATACCAGAATATAAACATGGATAGCAATTGTAAAAAACCTATAGTAATGAATATCCATCCTGGTCCATTGGAAATTGGTTCAAGAACGGCATTGTAAATCTCTAAGAAACCGATGCCACCAGTGAAAAAACAGATTGATTGTATAGCTGCTAAAACGGCAAACATTTGTGCTTTTTCGTCTGGCTCAACGATTTTGGATATCATGGAACGAATAGCTGGTATTGGATATTCAGCAAATATGATTGATACTAAAGCAAAGATCATGAACAAATCGCTCGATGCTATAGTTGATAATCCTATCATTATGATGGCCAATGTTCTTGAAAGTAAACCGATTGTTATTAATGTTCCATCATTTAATGGTTGCTGAAAATAGTTTCCAATGGCCATTTTTCCGCTACCGAGCAAATATTGGAGAACGGGCAACAGACACAAGAAAATACCGCTAAGACCAAATTTGGCACTGCTAAAATAAGAATATTTCCATGGTGGCCATTTTAACATATTTCTCGTATAGATAAACAACATGGTAGTAATCGCTACATTCCAGTAAGAAATAATAATGAAAGCGATCAGGATCAGATAAATGATTCGACGTTGATAACGATATGCACGTTGGCGATTTATTGTTCGAAATACTGATGTGAATAACATCGTAATAGCCACTTGTGAATGAGCTCGATTAGGCTTCGTAAACATTCGACGTTTAAAAATCACATAGATTATCATGAGCAAATGTATTTTTAAGAATAAACCGAAATTCAAATCATAACGTTCTAATGAATTCGGATATCGACGAAAGATAGCACCGGCAAAAGTAAAACCGAAAAATCCGCCACCGAAAAGACATGCTTCGACAATCGTAATTCGCGATGTTCGTTGTGATTGATTACATTTTTCTGCGACATGTGCAAAACAACTGGACAATAATGTCGATGTTCCGCCAGTGATACCAGAAATGCATGAACAAAGAAATATGATAAATACGCCTTTAGATCGTAATAGGAATGGAATTTCTTCGCTAAAATTGTTGAACAATGATCCAAGAACAAACAATTGTACGATGGCTGAACCAATTATTGGAATAATGATTGGCCAGAATTTACTACGTCTATCAGCATAGGTAGCTGCAATGAATGATGAAGCAATTGAGGTTGCATAAAGGATACCATTGTATATTTTTTGAGCATTATTTGCTTCTTTCGAAACGGCATTAGATATTTCAGAACTTTTATTATGCTTGAGATCTTCAGTACATAAATGTAATTGATCGGTGGCATTTAATTTAAGATGATCAATACATTTACTAACATAGAACAAATCCCCCACAACATCGTATTCAGCAAATATGGCCAATACGTAGAAAAATACTACAGGTTCGATTGATATAAATCTAAAAATTGATAACATGATCACCATATATCAATCGGATGATCTAAAAAAGTAGGATATTAAATCACTAAATAGCAAATGAATCAAAAATACAACACATTTATATCATTTTTTTGTACATTGTTATAAAAATGTTATCCTAATGACGATATGATTACAATATAAAAATCCTTTTATGGATGATATATTTTTTGATTGAGGATGCTAATCTAATATTTCTAAACACAAACAAAAAATCTGAAGATGGAAGCCCATGCCGACTTAATCACGTGATAGTTATTATCATTGGATATATGGGATGGCCCAAAAAATAAAAAATTCAGCTCAAATTCAAAAACAAAGATCCAAAAAAACTTTTAATTAAAAAAGAATAATATACCGGAAAAACACATGAATATAAAAAGAAAAAAAATGACATCCAATGAATTTTGTCTAAAAAATGTATGTGTATTTATAGGATGTTTTTGTTACCACCGAATGAATTATTTAAAAATATATTTAATGCAATGACTTTAATGTTGATGACAATGATGAACGCGTTGTAATCCAGCCATTTATAAACAGTTTACGCCTTGTATGTTATTTTGCGATATAATTAAATGATAATAATAAATTAAATTGTAATAAAATTATATCGCCATTTTTTTGCGATCATAATGGGATTTTGATTTGATCGTATAATTGTTTTAATTATCACAGTTTGATTTCAATTTTTATTGATGATGGATCAAAGAAACGTTCGCCTTCGAACAACCATTGATACGATTCCGTCGGGTAGTTTTTTAAGGAAATTCCAAGCTTCAGATCTGGTCATTTCTTCCATTGGATGATTATTAACAAATAATAATTCATCACCTTCCAGTAGTGTACCTTCTTTATCAATAGGTCCACCTGTTGAACAAAAAAAAATTTAAATTTTCAAAATCTAAGATAAAAATTTCCGATTTTACCTCGATAGATTCGTTTAATCGATATCGGCTTATCACCAAATGATGAATCTTTCCCACCTTCAATCATAAATCCAAGACCAGTGACGTCTTTTGTGATATCAGCTTTTATAATTTTGAAGTTATTGTTGTTAGCATCCGTATCCGATTCTATTGATATCGTTGAGGCTAATTTCGGCGATTCTTTGTTATCGGTGGGAATGGATCCCAAGGAGAGCAAATAATCATCATTCATTTCGTTCTTATTGGTTTCATGTGGTCTGGTAAAAACAAGGACAACTTTTTCACTCAAACAAGAACTTTTAAGCAAATCAATGATTTTATTATGCGTCATCCCAGCTAAACGTTTACCTTACAAGTGATAATATCATTCAAAGGAATTGAATCTATAAGCATATGGAGAAAACTTACCATTAATTGAAATAATTCTGTCGCCTTTTTGCAGACGGCCATCTTGTGCAGCCATACCATTCGGATCAATACTTTCCACCTATGCAAAGCGAAAATATTCAGAATGGATAAAAATTCTTCTCCACACTAAACTTACCGTAACATTATCTGAGTCAGAATCAAATCCCCCTTTGATTGTGAATCCAAGATGAGAAAGATATTCTTTTTCATCATTAAGATTTAAATCATTTAGTTGAAATATAATAGCTCTCATCGAATGTTGTTTCTGATATATGACAAATTCATTCATTATCTTTTGTTTAGGTTCATCTCGAACATTGTTTTTGTTTTCATGTTCAGAATCATTTTTAACAATTAAATCTTGATCACTTTCTTTCGGTTTAGGAGGGAATGGAGGCGGACAATTCATTCGGACCGGTTTCATTGTTTTACTTAACCTTGGTTTAGGTGGTATGTTTGGACCTTTTACCGTTTCTGAATTAATGTTTTGTTCGAGTTTTTCGCCATTCAAATAATCATTAACTGGCAAAGAAAATACACGCCTTTTGAACATTGGTGAATATTTTGGCACAGTAACATTTGCCGGTTTTAATGGTATAATTTCGATAGGTTGATTATTTTTACTTGTTTGTTGATTTATTTGATTTACTTTTAATGAATTGTTTTTGTTCAAATCTTCAATTTTTAGAATTTCTTCACTGATTATTGTTGGCAAATCAATTTCAATTCGATCATCGACAGTTGAAATCGAATCACATTCATTTTGTCCATCGTTGATTGTATCCGGAATAATCAGACCTTTTAGTTTGCAAACATTTTGATGGCGACGAACCGTTATGAAAGAATCACGTGATAACAACGAATTTTCTCCAGATGATGAATTTGCTTGTTTTTCAGATAGAATAGTCTTCATCGGAGCTATTACTTCAGTTTCACATGGCGCCGATGACGAACGCGACAATGAAAGTAGTTGATTTCCATTATTATTCACAGCCATTTGTTTGTTTTGATTCGTACATTGCTGTTGTTGGTTTTCAGTGGTAACTTGGGAAATCTGTGCGAACATCAAATGGTATTTTTAAATTAAAAATATTATTTGGTGATAAGAGATAATTTATCATCGAACTCACTTTTTCAATAGCTGGTCTGGCTAACAACTCAGGACTTGGTGAGTGTGAAAATTCAGATGTTGATGAAGTATCATCTGAGGCGAAGATTCCCGAGTCTTCTCGATGCGGATTAGGTGTTAGAAAGAAGGGCGATTTTTGCAAATTATCAGATTGATGTTGATCATCGTTTTCAAAACTAACAGATTTTCCTGCTGTTTTAAATGATAATTTTTTATGATTAAAATTATCTGTCAATGAGCCAAGCGATGAAATCGATGATGTCGATGTAGATGATGAAAGTATGGCCACCTCCTCTGGCGACGATGAATAAAGATGATGTTCGCCTGATGATGAATTCATCTTGTCGGTCAATTTTTGCTGTTGTTGTTGATTATGATGATGATGATCTTGTTTTGTTCTTGTTTGTACAATGGGAAGATCGCCTACATTCAACATTAATTTCCATTCAAAAAATGTTAAAATATTTCGAAATAAAAAAAGGTCAAAACGATTAAAAAAGTTGAGAAGAGAACATAGGATTTAGAAATTTAGCATAAGATGATTAACTTACCGTTGATGGTCAATTGTTGTTTTTGTTCCTTATGTTTTGAGGGATGTTGTTCGATTTGATCCATAAAACAGACTCTATGTTGTTGATGATGCGGACGTTTTGTTTCTAATGTCCAATCAAGATTTTGTGAATTATTATTATGATGATGAATAAGTTGAAAATCTGAACTATCTGAACAAGTTGTTACAATATCGCTTGATTCAGAATCTGAAAGTTGTGAGGATGATGTTGATGATGAAGATGATGACGAAGATGAGCAACTTGATTCACCGAAATTAGGTCTCGTTTTTATATTAGCAGTAGCTGTTGTTTTTTCTTTTGTAATAACTTTTCTTTCAATTCTATTTTCTTCAATAGTTTGAACAATTGAATTGCTATTGTTATTATTATATTTATTCGATTTGCATGAATTTCTTAAAATCGATCTAGGTTGCTGTAATGGAACTACTTCTTCATTGTCTGATGATTTATTCGATAATGAACAACTTGTTGATTTGATAGTTTGGTCGATTTTACAATTTCGAATAAGATTTTTTGATGTTTGTTTCAAATTATTATTATTATTATTATTCGATGATATTTGTAGTTGTAAGGAATTGGTTGTTGGTTTTACTTTCGACAAAGACAATGGATGATTACCAATGTTGTTGTTTGTTGTGATGACCGTATTGTTTTTGTTATTATTTAAACTAGTTCGTAATTTTGATGAATTTTGATTATTATGATAATGCCAGAAATTAGAAGAATTGGGAGATTTCTGTTGTTGTTGTTGAATTTGTGTCTGATTAGGATTCAGCCAAATGAGGTTTTTTGAATGTTCAAAAGATGAAAATCCATTAATAGAACTATCATCCCCGTTTGCTAATGAATGTGATTCTAATGTATTATAATGATTATGATCTTTTTCTAAATTATCATGACGCAAATGATGATGAAGGTGATGATAATCATTCAATAAAAAAGGATTGCCGTTGTTGGTCGAATTTAATGAATCAGAACGAAACAAGTTTTCATTGCTAATCAAATATTGTTTATGATTATTTACAGTCGATGTTGGTAATCGATTAGGATTGAATTGATTTTGATGATAGTTATGATTAAATGATTTAAAACCATTTTGTGATTGTAGTTGATGTTTGTTTTTTAGTGTAATCAATTCTTTGGTTGTTATCAATGTTGGCTGGGTAATCGATCCTACATTAAAGGAAAGAAAAAATAAAAATAAAATAGTGATCAACAATCACTCAATCGACAATATCAAATCTATGTCAATTAATTAATTATAATCCAGGAAAATACATTCTAGCGGTTTCATGGGAATAAATCAATATTTACAATCTATATGATATGGATAATGAAAGCATTGAGAAAAACGCAACCCACCATAACATTCACACAATCATTAACGATCGATAGATCTAATTAAACATTACGTGATGATAGATAATGAATATTGAAAAAAAATAACAACAATAAAGTCTTAAAATAGGTAAAAAATATATTCATCTGATTAATTTATGCGATGGCATTGAATGAGTAACTAACAATTCAATTTTAGGTATGTGTTAATCATACAATCATCATCGTCATTGTTGTCGTCATTACCAGGATGTGGAAAGTAAATAGTTAAAGAATGACGGCATTGATAAAAAGAAAATTGAATAGAAAAAAAATATGACGAGTCATTGAAAGAAAAAAAATTAGTCTAAAAATACAGATACAATTGGTAAAATCAGATTGAAAATATCTACAATCGATTATATAGGATTCAGGGTAAATCAAACAGGTGGTTTTTTTTGTTATTCATTTAAATTGGTGGTAGATCGTGATCAAGATGTGATATTGAATAATACAAACCGAGTATTGAGCATAAAAAAATATCAAATTCACGAAAATCAAATCGATCACAATTAAAATTAAAATTGAATACAAAATGATTATAAAATCAATTGTTCTAAAATTTCGTTTCAAAACAAAACAAACAATCAAGTAGTAACCAAAAACACTATCAGCAATCATGAAGTAATATGATGGAAAAAGGCAAATGTATCAAATGTATGTTTGAAATAATTTGTTCATCATAATAACATTGAATGGGAAAAAATGAACAGTCATTTTCGGATCGTTTTCCAATATTTTTATTTCATAAAGAAATCCATCTTCTCTTTTCTGTTTGGAATTCGGTTTTAGATTTCTCTTTTTTTTTCTCTCAATGTTTCCATTCAATCTATTTGAAAACAAAACAAAAAAGTTTTGGAACAAAAAAAAAGAGGACCTGTCAAGTATTGTGCAGGTAATTACATTTTCAAAAATGCTAAAAAAGTTTCCCATTTGGCCAAATTAACTATTCTTATCATCATAATTTTATTCATTTTTTTTGTTTGTTTGTTTGTTTCAATAAAATAAACATTTACGATAACGATATTATATAAAAATTGAAGTCTATCAATATGATAATTTTGAAAGAGGATTGGATATTATATAAAAAAATTATGCAGATAATAATAACAAATATCAAAAATTTATTTATTGAATGAACACACAAACGCACACACACACAATGGATAATGATGCATTGATGATAAAAATATCCTTCATAAGTTGATTGGATTCATTCAAACTAATAGGTAGAAAATGGGTGAATAGATTTTAATCGATCGTCAATGCAAGCAAATACGGGAATGTCCATAAGGCGAAAACGCATTTTATTTTAATAACGTGCAAGTTCTGTTATAGAAAATGATGATTAAAATAACCAATTTATTAAAAATGTTTCATCACGTCTTATGTCCAATATTTTAACAAGTGGTAAAATTATTGCATCTCCATGTTAACTATTTTGTTCCTGAAACTTTTTTTTGAGAAAGAAGAAATTGAAAAAAAAGATTGCCAGATAGTAAATGAAAACTAATTATAATCGAACTAAAAATATCATAATATCTCCATAAACTATGTCTGTTTCTGGATTTATGTTTGCAATGATGATGAATTCTTATAAAGACGATGAAGATTGAGGCCAAAGTTCAAACGGCGAGTAGACAAATATTGTGAAGACAATGAAAATCGTTGAACAATAGAAATGAAAATGATGATTCATAGAAAAGCGATCCAAAATATTGTTACATAAACAAATCAGTTGAAAATTCATTGTTAAAAACGTTTTAATTCATCACTCAAATATATTTGATTTTATAATTATTGTAATCATCATAAATAAATGTAGTAAATGTAGAAATGAAAAGAAAAACATCAACAAAGATAACGAAAAGTTTGTATTCTAGTTAAAATATTATTATGGCAAAAAAAATCAAGTTGAATATACATAGTGACCGACAATTTGAGAAAAAAGAGATTTTTTTTTTAAATGCAAATATACTTTTTTGGTGTTATTCAATGGAAAAAAATCAATGGCATAAACAAATGAAGATTATGATAAAGCGTTGAATTGAAGTTGAAAAAAATAATTTAAAAAATTTCTTCAAATTGTTTGGATCTAAATGCAGCAACAGGTGGTTTAAGCGTACAATGATTCTTGAATAAAATGATTCGATTTTTATCACTGTATTTGCTATCATTATTGTTGTTATCATCAGATTCTTGTTCAATTTTTTGTAACGGATATGTACAATTACCATCACCATTTGTAATAGAACTATTATTTGGACAATATGTTCGGATTTCTGTCACCACAGGAATAGGTTTAGGTTTTATCGGTTTTTTAGGCGTTGGTGATAAATTGGAATTATTGGGTGCAAATAAACGGGCATATTTTCGTGCATTAATGTGCATTCGACCGGATATTTTGTTTCGGGTAGTGCCTATGACATGATACACACAAATGATCATTATATAGTTTATTCGTTTAAGAATATTTTGTTTACAGTTAGTAACGAATTTAATTAGATCATTAGTTTAGTGTGTATGCTTATTCAGTCAATTAGTGTCAGTAAATGTGATTATGGATTTTGCATCATCGATGATATTATGAGAAAATGTCTATCGATTAATGTTAATTGAAATTTGCTTTACGGTCAACATTCATTTTTAAGTTAGTTACATTTGATATATTAGTATGCTAATCTATGCAATCAAGAAATTTATTTTGGTTTTTTAATTTAACTAAGAGAATAAAATAAATAGGAAATAAAAAATTCAAGAGAAAATAAATAAACTTACCATAAGTTAAATCAGTTAATGATGTGGTACGAAAATCTCGTGTATTTGATGATTCGTCCTGATTGATCGATTGAACATTAGATTGATTGTGTCGATTATTATTATTATTATTGGTTAAATTATGGAATGATGTTTGTTTATTTGTAGGACGGGGTAAACTACCGGTATTATAAACATTTGTACTTGATTTTGAAACCGATCTTGACAATGAACCATAACCATATGGTGATCCATCATTATGATTAAGACAATTGTGATGATAGTTTTTTCCAGTCGAAGTTGTTGATGAAGATAATGATGATCCAGAGGTAATATTTGATTGTCTTCTTGGTGTAGTTAATGTGCCATTCATTCTTGATGTAGGTTTTGTTGAACGTGATAAAGAATTTGTAGAAAAAATCGATTGCATTGATGTTGATCGATTCAGGCAATTGTGACTGGTTGTACGATTAATAGTTCGTTGTTGACTAACATTTTTTAAATTGCTATTATTATTGTTCAACGTAGATTGGGGTAATGATAGATTAAAATTAGAAATTGGTCTCGGTATTAGACTAGGTTTTGTTTCGATTAATGAAGTAAATGAACCGCTACTCATTGTGCTGTTTGATCGGGTAAAAATGTTTGATATCGATTGTGAACGTTTGTTTAAATTGTTCAATGATGGTTTAGACATCGTAATTGGAAATAATGTTGGAATTTTCGAATCGATTGGCTGATCCACCTTGTTGGTCATTATTATCGATTTATTCATCATTACTGGCGTGGGTTGCTTGCATTGTTGTTTTGATGCTGGTGGTGGATTAAGTAGTAATTTTTGTGTATTAACTGATGATAAGGGTGGTTGTTGATCAGATAAACAAACTGGCAGGCTGGCAAAATCCATGGAACTCTCTGTTTGGGTAAGGTTATGCGTTGGTGTTCGGCCATCGGATCGTTTAATGTTCGCGATCAATTTATCATGAATATGATGTTCGGATGGTGGAAATTCATGATCCGGTGAAGATGGTGTGGATGAATGTGATGATGTTGATGATAATGATGAAGAAAACATAGATGATGATGAAACTGAAGAAGTAGATGAAGGTGATGATAATGCAATAAGCTCTTCAAAAACATCTTTACCATCCAAAAATCGTTGTAAATTTTCTCGTTGATCAGATTCCTGTAAACCTCGTAATGATTCACGAATACGCATTATATCATCGATTGAATCGATTTTATCATTTGTTAACTCTAACATTCGTTCAACAAATTCGAAATCATCAGCAGCTTTGTTGAGAAATTCGAAAACATTATCAAGACTGACTTTAGTTTGATCAGATGACGATGATGTTGATGATGTTGATGAACCACAATCAGAAGTATGGCTTCTATTCATCTCATTATCATTAAATTCGTCTTTCAAATTTTCCATTTGTTCCTTGTTTTTATTATCTTGACATTCGTCATTAGCAATTAACATTGGATTCAATTCATTTATTTTAGCCAAATCATTATTCATGTTGACTGGTTGGATGTTTCCGATAATTGGCTTTTCGGGAACAACAGGTTTTTGTTGTTTTTGTTTTTCAAGAACTGCTCTATTTGTATCAATATTATCGTTAAATTTTGCTTCAAAAGTAGAATTGTCATCATCTTCATCTTCTTCAGTGATTGATGATAGTTCACTATATGAATTCAAAATCAATTCACTGCTATTGTGGTGAAACATAAAACGACTTGATGATTCATTTAAATAATCAGTATCAATCATAAAATCATCTTTATCATCGTCTAATCGACTAAATAGGTCATTTTTGATTTCATTCAAATCTTCATCATCAGAATGATCATTCTGTTTGATTATTGACAAATCATCAGATTGTTTGCGATCAACATCAACACCACCATTAGCTTGAGGATGATCTCGTCGAAAATCATCAGTATCGTTTCCAATACTGTTCGGAGATGCATCAATCGGAAATAATCGATCGGCATCAATTAACATCGGTTCGTTAGCGATGGCACCATTTTTTGTCATCATGTTCGCCTTCATCGTATTCATCATCATCATCAACTGTTCATTATCATTGATAAGCACATTGTCTGTCTTATCGGATGACAGTTGGTGGTGTTGTTGTTGCGAATGATGTTTATCAGTAACAATCGCTAAATTTGTGACCAATGGTTGAGCCAATAAATTCATTTCCGAGCTATCAGTAGCAGCTGTGATCACTGGTGATTTGTGGACGGGAAATTCTTTATTGTCCAATTTTTCGAAAGGACTTAATACCCTATCGACAATCGATAAATTCGCTATTTCATAATCATCAACATTTGCAGCATTTTCTTGTTCTACGACCATATCATTGCCATGATATGGTCCTCGTTCAATAATGGTTGATACTGAAGAGCTTGTATCATCTGTATCAGATTCAAAAGACTAGATTGATGTTTGAGAAAAATATAAAGAAAAATTAAATTTATTAGTGATAAAAATAATTTTAAAAAGAAAAAACCGATACTTACCTCTTCGGCATATTGATTAAAATCTGAATAAGATGCAGCGGTCGGTGGCGGTGTTGTTGTCAACGTAGTGCTCGAAAGTGATGCGGACGATAATGTTGTCGGTTTTTCTTCAGCTTCATATTCAACTGTAGATTTATTATTATTGCTATTAACTAGAATGACATTATCAAGCTTCATTCCTTGAATTTTTTCCTTATTATCAATGGTTGTCTTAGCTAAATCAACGATGACGGTTGTCGTATCGTTTGAATTACGACTTTGACCGTCATTGATTGAATTCATAATGACATTTTTTTCTTCATCTGAATCTCCATTCGATAGTGATGAAGATGATGATGATGAAATTGTTTTTCCAGAAAGCTTCCGATGTAATTTTTCAGCTGTCTGACGAATAAATGATGATACTTTTGAATTGGATATATTAAATGTCACTTTAGCTGTGTTGTTTGATGTAGACTTTGATGTTGTAGGATGTTCATGAACATTTTCGGTATTCAAGTGGCCTGTTTTTATTAATAGTGTCGATGCAGCAGCTGAGTTTATTGCCGAATGACATGATTTTGGTGTCATTAAAGAATCATTAGATTTCTGTTGTTGGCTGCTCTCTGTAATCGATTTATCGCAATCAGGATCGAAATCCTTTACTTTACCTAAATTCGAATTCGTAGGAGAATGAATGACTGTCACTAATGATGGCAATGATTTAGCAGTTGTTACAACCGGTGTCGTAGGTTGACTAACACCATTGCTTATGTTATTGTTGTTTTGATTTTGTATTAAATTGACATTAACAATCGACGGTGTAGATTGTATTCGATCTATTGGCGGCTTTGGTGGTGGTCCTTTCGGGCGTCGAGGCGGTAACGGTGGTGGATTAGCATGACCATTAACATTTTGATGACCTGTACCATTTTGGCTGACATTTTTTCGCCGTGGAGGTTTTTCGACAACAGCGGATTGATTTGTAGTCGACTGTTGATTTTGTTGATGAACAATTGGAGTGGAATATTGTCTATGTTCAATGTCACCACTACCACTATTTTGTTTGATGATAATTGTTTGTTCGCTTGATTGATTACAACTTTGATTAGTTAATGAATTGACATTACTATCGATTCGATGATGTTGATCAGCTACAATTTCATTAGGATTGTCTACAGTTAACGTTGGTGGTATAGGCATTGGCCTTGGTTTACGTTTGGATGATAATGTTGTTGTTGCCATCCTTGGTGGAACCGGTGGTGGAACTTTTTTATTGTTTGCTATTGATTGATCAGAACAGCTATTGAGCAATTGATTCAACAATGGTGTATTTGCCGCTGATATCAACGACGATGTTGACGACGATAAGGATACTGATGACTTGGTCAAACGATTCTGTGAATCATTGTTATTGTTGAGATGATTATGGTTCGAATTTAAATGTAGACTGTTATTTGGCAGATGTATAGGCATTTGGCAACAATTCGATACTTTTGGCACTGCTACTGTTGTCATTGTCGTCATTGTCGTTGTTGTCATTGATGTTGGATGCTGTTGTGATGGACATTTCTGACAGTTTTGGGTCATCGGAACACTTTCATTATCTTTACTATCGTTTAGAGAGTTTGGACAATTTCGCCGACGAACAAACAATCGAATGCAAACAGGAGCATCCCGAAGTAATGTTATGCATTCTAATCGAGTCAGGGATGACGATGATCGACCATCAATTTGCAGAATTTCATCACCTTCACGCAACATACCCAGCATCAAACCGATCGCTTTGGCAGATGGCGAATTCAGCGTGATACTTTGTACGAAAACACGACGAATAGTTTCTGTTGCACTTTGACCGCCATCAAACCTTAATGCCATGCCCAAACGTTCACCTGGCAAACGATAAATTATCACTTCTTCTTCAATTTCACCACGTTTATTATCAACAAATATCCTTTGATTACTATTTTGATGGTTATAATTAGACAATGATCCCGTACCATTCATTGTGGTTTGATTGGCGGTAGTAGTTGTTATTGTTGATGAAGAGGGTGTCATTATTGTGGCACCAGTTGAAATAATTGTCAATACAGTAACAAAATCGCTATTCAGACCAGTTAATTGTTGATTATTATGATGTTGATTAAATGAGGAATTTTTCGATGACAAAGAGTTAATAACCTCATGCCCATTATGATAACTGTTACCACAATATGGATATGTTGATTGTTGCAATTGTTGTTGATCGATTTGTAACACAGTTACATGAATATCTCCATCATTAAGTGATGGTAAAGATTCACCGTTTTGAGAACCATTTGTTTGGTTAACACCATTGGTTGTTGATGGATATAAATGATAATGGCCATTTAATGGATAATGATTTCCTTGATTATGATGATGAAGTTGATGTTGATGTGGATGGTAATAGGAAGAAAATAGGCCACCATTCGATTGAATGGGGGTAGTTGGTGGTGGCAATGTTGCCGTCTCTGATGGTCCATTCATTTTTCTTTTGAGTTTTTTTTGTAATATTGCTGTTCAATTGTTAGCAATTATCGATAGTTTTCAACAAGAAAGATCAAAATTGCCATTTTTTTCGTTGATGAAAAAAAACTAATAATGGTTTCAACCATAGAATTTTTCATATAATAAGCACATCCGAATCATTATGATGATCAACGACCGTTCAAAAAATCATCGATTCGTTTCCTAAACAATTTTCGGATTTTTCGTTTCGAAAATTTGTGAATGACAGACACAGCGGTCAATCACAGCATTGATTCTGTCAGAACGAGAAAAAAAATTAAAGAATAATATTAGTATCGATTGAAACAGATTTTTTTTGTTTATTTATTGTGAACAAATAGGAGTTAGAAAGAAAATATATGTTTGGAAAGCTACCAGCATTATGCTCGAATAGGCAAGAAAATTATCCAACAATATTATAGCTTTGCAAAACTAAAATCAATCAATCAATCATTTTGGTCATTCATCAGATGTAACAATGACAACTCCGACAATGGATCGAAAAAAAAACCAGAAATCATTGTTGTTTGGTAGTGGTTTGTTTGTTTGATTGATTTATAACAGGTGTTCGGAATTCGATCATTATTGTTTGTTTGGTTGTTGTTGTTTTTTTTCTGTTGAATATGTTTGTGTGCTACTTGTTTTTTTTCTGGTATAATCTTTCGATAAATCTAATGTTGATTAATAGAGAGATGATTGGAATGATGATGATGGTGATGGTGATGATGATGAAAACAAAAAAATTGATCGACAGATGAAAATATCCACCTACAATCAATATATAATCATCAACTGTAGCAATGATGATGATGATGATCATCATCATCGTTGTTTACTTGGAATCTTTATTTCTATTTTATTTATATATTGTTGTTAGATTTTTTCTTTTTGACCAATTGTTGACCAATTGACCAACATCGATCATCGACATATATTTGTGATTCGATTCGATTCGATTCAATCGGTTTCGATTTAATGAAATGCAAAGGCGTCCTAAATAGATTTTGTATACAAAAAAATAAAATAAATCTTTGCCAACAAACTATTCATTTTTTACATCACATATATTGGGGGTTTTTTTTCCTATCACAAACAAATTGCTACCTGATCATAGTCCTTGACCTAAAACCTGTTACTCATATCAATCATATAATAAGAAAAACAAACGAAAAAAAAACTCTTTGGCCAATTTGTTAGTTTATTTTCAATTTCCATTAACTATCATCAAAGCTACATCTCCACTTTTTCTCAAAATAAGAATGCCCAGAAATAACAACAAAAAAATGATAGTTAATTATTGCCACTTTGGACACCCAACTTTGAACGGTTTATATACTCGATTATCTAATCTTTATTCATTTTTTTCCTATTTTATTTATGGTTCATCATCATCATCGTGTCGCCATTAAACCAAACAGGAATTACCATTTTAGTTTTTGAAGAAAAAAAAACAAGAAATTTATAAAAAGACAATCAACAATTCATGCATTTTATTTATTTTGAATAATCATAATTTTGTTGTTGTTGTTGTTGATTCTAATTGTGTTAACCATCATCATCATCATTATCATATTAATATGATGGAGTCATTTATTCATCATTTTTATCCGTTATAACGTTGTTCATCATCATCATTAGCATTTTCAGTGCGTTTTTTCTTGCCAAAAAAAAACAGCAGGATGTCGTGTTCATTATTTAATTTGATCAAAAAAAGTTACATCATCAATTGATGATGCTAAATATACTACGAAAATACGCGTTTTTTTGTTTTGTTTGGATCATCACAGTCAGACAGCAAAATGTAGCATTATTTTTGGATGGAAAAAATTTATGAATTTTTATTTTCGTTGTTTCATACTGTGTTCCAACACAATTAATATTGAAAAATTATTTTTCATTTTGAAACATATTTTGTAATCCAAAATCGATGAATACAACAATCGGTCAAACAAATTGACCTGAACTTATTCGTTCTCCTCCCTTCTTCTTGTTTTGTTTTTCAAACTTGATCAATAATTTTATTTGATTTTCGAACACAGACACATACTAATATTGAATTTTGACAAAATAAAATCCATTCCAAAATATTTTCATTGTAATCACACGAATGAATTAGAAACACACACAGAAAAAAAACAATAGACGAAACAGAAACAAAAGAAGAAGAGCGAATACAAAAAAAAATGCCATGACATCAATCAGACAATCAAAATTGGTTATTATTATCAAAATATCAACAACAACAAAAGATTGTTTGATCAAAATATTGAATCGATATTGATCATCATTATCATCGATACACACATCAATTTTCATACAGATATTATCATCATGAATTGATCCTGCTACCGGCATCTTTATCATATAGTAAACATACAAACAATTTATTTTTTTAAGAATCCTTGTTTTTATTAATCAAATCAAAACAATTGAGTAATAAGGAAAAAAATATCTCTAATAACAAATGATTTACCAAAAAAAAATCAGGAAGAAAATTCGCCAATCACTTGTTGATGTTGTCGATCATCATCATCATCGATGATTTGATCGATTCAACTTAGATCCAATCAATCCAATCATATCAATTTTTATTTATTTACTTTACTCTACTCTAATCTTATAATCAAATTTAACTTTTTTTGATTTTGTTTGTTTTTTTTCACTAGTCAAACGATCAATCTAGTCAATCATCAATCGATAAACAATGTTGATGATGGACAAATGTTATATGTATGGCACACATCAATTTAAAATTCATTTGAAAGAAAATGATGCAAAAATCGATATCATTGAATAAATTAACCATCAAAATGAAAAAAATGGTCATTCTTATAAAAATTGACAGATTGATCCAATGAAATTTGTTCAATCAAACATGTGTACACTAACTTTTGAGTTAAATTTTTTTTTTAAATTTATGTATGTTCAATGTAAATTTTGAAATTGAACTAATCCAAACAACAGCATATAATAGCAGCTGTATAAATGAAATCAATGCAGAGAAAAAGAAATATCCAAACAAAATTATGATCAACGCCATTAGCTATTAGAATCATGCTGATCTTGTTAAAAAATCAAAATTTGGCCTTTGTACCAATCCAGTTCGACACATCATCGATCAAGGCGAGACCTCGAAAATGAAAACAAAATATAAAAAAACAAATTTTTTCCCCTTTGATCAAAAAACAGAAACTGTACAGACCGAAAACAAAACAAAAAAACGTCAAATATGTTCCAAGTTGAAATTGTTGAAAAGAGAGTGAGAGAGAAAACAAAAAGGGCAATGAATTCAAATCAGAAAACAAAAAGGCCAGCTTAAACAATAAGAAAAATGATTACTAATGACAATAAAGATTTTGATTTAGATTTATCCTAATGCAATAATAATGAAAACAAAAATCAACATTATGAACTAATAATTATCGTTCAAATTGATCCATCAAAATATTCGATTAATTTGTTTTATATTTTTGCAAAAACAAAAGAAATCCATTTTTTTTCTCTCTCTTTTTCTTTTAATTGTTCGCTAAATTATCATGCATTCTGTAAAAAAAATCATTAAGTTCTATTTATATATTCTCAATAGGTTAATCATCATGAATCATTGTAGTCTATAGTCAAATTGACTTTTGAAATGTGTGTGTTTCAAGTTTCTAATTGATTTTTTTAAAATATAAATTTTGTAATTCGTTAAATTTTTTGAATCATCACCATTAGTTTTCGCGGGTCTTGATTATTGTTGGCCAAATGTTTTTCATTTAATGGCTTGTTAGTAAACATGAAAATTATTTTTCTGTTACACGTTTTCTCACGCTTTTATTGGCCAACGAAAAAAAAAGAAAAAGAAAAACATTGTAAAAAGTGAAGAAAAATTAATTAAGATAACGTTTGAAAAAATGATAATAAAAAACAATTAATTAATCACACGTTTAGATGTGCATTTAATGTGTTTCGAATTTTTCATTTATGAATTTGTTAAGGTTTGTTGAGGTCAATATATTGATAATATTTGTATATCAATTTGACCTATTCGAATGTTTTTTTTTGCTGCCTCTTCGATAATATTTATTATCATCAAAATGCTTGTGTTTTTGCTGGAGAAAAAACACAATTTCATTAATCAATATTGTCATTTAGAAATTTTCCAAGATGAAAAATTATGTGTTACTTTTGGTATCGAGGTTGAATATTATTATTATTGATATTTATTATCATCTATCATCGTACGATGAGGATATTTTAATTAGATGATATAATATAAAATATATGCAAAGGATTTCGTGGAAAAAAATATTGTTACAATGTTGTTGTTACATTCTTTAATGATAACAACAATACATTTTCAGATTGATTGATAGATCGATCGATTGATTGTTCAATAGATTGTCATCGAATTGTGTGTGTGTGTTTGTAGCCATCATCAACCAATCAATCAATCGATCGATCAATAAATCCATCAAAAAAAATGTGTGTGTGTGTGCACCTGCTCGACTTGATCCAGTCAATTGATGAATCGTTTTTTTTGAAAAAAAATATTATCGATATAAAAAATCCATAGAAATTTTCAAAAGTTTCGCCCAGGAAACTCATAAAATGCATGATTTTTATGAAACCACGTAGAAAATACACACATACACAATGTATTTGAGCTTTTTTTTAAAAATACCAAAAAAAAGCTTAATCCTCATAGATAACAATAGTATTTAAATCCAAAGCTTTCATTTGTGTTCCAAGAAACGAGAAAAAAAACATGAAAAAAATGTCAAAATGGGCGCTACGCACAAACACACACACGGATAATAAGACTATTTTAGATTATTCAGATTTTCAGATTCACTTGTTTTTATTTAAATTTTCTCTGTTTAAATTCTCATGACCATCATCACCACGATGTTTCTTTTTTTTCATCTTTTATTGCTAAACATGAATGAAGAAAATATAGCCGAAAATCATTTTCACAATCATCGTCATCGACATTAATGATGATGATGATGATGGTTCCAGAACAAAAATTGAACGAAATCCGAAAAAAATGAAATGTTGAAAGGGAAAATGTATACGAAAAAAAAGTCACATCATA